TCCCGGCATCTTTTTTTGACTCCCGAAGCGTGCAGGGAAAAGTGGGTTGCCACAAATGAAGTTCATTTAAATACTTCATGTGTTTCCCTTTCAGCAATCCAGCCCGTGAGTGTGCGGGCTTTCATGAACAAATCGCCTGGAGATTTACCATATGAAGACTGTGCGAAACCTGAGAAGGGTACCTCGAACAAAACAGCCGCCATAGATTGACCCGCCGCACCGATCCACCTGGACCGCATCATGGCCTGATACAAAACACAGCCCCAGACCTGCTTTCCTTGCTTCCTGGGGAATGTCATGTTGATCCCATATTAACCAACCCCTGTTTATTCGGGGGGGGGGGGTGGGGGGTGTCCCTTGTTTTGAAGGAGAACACCCACAATATTCAGACCACTTTTGGAGCCCCCACCCCAGCCAGGGCCGAAAAGCAAAAAAAAAAAAAAACACAGGACCAACTCCAAAAAAAGCCAAAACCAACTCCCAAAACTTCCGCCGCCGATCCGCCGCTCCACCGAGAAAGCCTCCACCCCCAAGCTGCCCGGCGATGAGCTTCTCAGCGCGATCCACTGCCAGGAACCCGAAGGCACGGTCCCAGGCGCCGATGCTGGCGATTGGGTCAGGCAAGGCAGAGTGTTAACCCCCGGATTAATAGACTGGTTGATTTTGAGCGGGGGGTGTCCAATTCCTTTTCGTGGGGATTCATCCCTGTTGGGGAACACCCCCCCTAATGGGACGGATTTATGAATCCTGGGTCAACATTAAAAGCAAAACACTACCAGGTCTCCTTGGAGCTCCTTCTTTTTTGAGGATGAAGAGAAGTCAACAGCACCTTCGGGCCGCAACAAGTCCCTACCAGAAGGGGACCGAGGCATGAGCATAGCCGTTTCGCCCCTGCTTACCCTGCTGTGCCCGTTTCCGGACATCATCTGCCAAATCCAAAAGTCACAGGAAGGGGGTGGCTGGAAGAACCACCAGCTGACCCCCCAGAAAACATCCCATCAAATAACCAGCCAAGCAAGATGTGGACTCAACCAGCGAGTGGCCCTTTGTTCGCACGAGCGGATCGTGGCTCTTGGACTGCGATGCGGATTTCCTGAGCGGCCCCGCGTGTAGAAGAAGGTCTTCACCACCTCCGCGTTCTTCGACAGGTACCTGAGACGTCTCACTCTACTGGGGCAAAAGCGCAAAAACAAGCGTTGCTCCAGTGCTCCAGTGCAAATTGAAGGTGAAAAGTTGGGAAGCCAAATTCGAGCATCAGACAAAGTGATGCTTGAGCACAAGCCTTTACATCCTGGGCCCGCCAACTCGCCCAGCCACAACCATGGCCCCTGCCCTGCAGGTTGATCGTAGTAGGCGGCGTAGGAATACCTGGCCATCCTGAACGGCTGGCAAAGACGTGTGCAGGAAGATGTTGGGTCTTTTGCGGATGCTGAAAAGAGCCTCAAAGTCACCCCACAAAGTGTCCACAACCAAAGGGTTTCCGGAACCCTTCCTTTCGTGGCCCTTCTTTTCGGCTGCATGCTTTTTGGCGCCCCAGCTCCCAGTTTGCCACCCAAGCCTGCCTGTGTGCCTCGTCCACACTGAAGTTGGTCACTTTCTCCTGCACGTTTTGGACGCGACATGCCGCTGAGCCCTCGGCAAAATCCATGCGAAACAAGGAGCGAAAATCGCCGGGTTTTCCCGCCTCAGGCAGGCACATCTCTTGCGGCGCACCTGACAGGCATTGGCACAGCGTTACCTTCGGACATGAGACGTGGCTTTTGAAACGCCAGGGACGCGGTTGTTCCCTTGGGTTCCAACCAACAGGGAGCCGCCAATGGTTAAAGATTGAGAAGCATGGTTCGTGCCTTGAACCCTCAACAGACACCAGCTCCGGAGCTGCAACTTCAAATGGGAGCCAACAGGGGATCAACTTAAACAAAAAATCGAGATTCCATTCCAAGAGAATGACACAAGAAAGCTTTCTCACACCGAATCACCGTGCGGCTTTGTACAATCGTGCGTGTGTTTTGGTGTTTTGGTGTTAATAAAAACAAAAATGTGGTTCCTCCCAATCTGCAGAAGGGCAGTTTCTCTGATGATGTGTCTGGAACAGGTATCCCACAACCACGTTCCTTTGCATTCTCATTGCATCCCTCAAAAAAAAATAAAAAAATCCCTTCGCGGGTTTGCCGGCCTGCGGCTTCGGCCAGTAAAGACTTTGCCGACGTGCCTCGGGGCAAATTGGGGGGGGAACTCAGCGCAGGGAGACGAGGGACACGACACAACATGGCCGCACTGAAGGGTCGACTATGATGGTACCACCTTTTTCGGGTGGCTTTTGCGGGGTCCTTGATACGGAGGAAACTTTAAGGTACTGCTTCTTGGGATCCTCGGCAGAATGGATTTCAAGTGTTCGGGGCGGGCCAAAACTTGAGAGGTCTACAGCTGAAAGGCAAACGGAGGAAATCAGTTGCAGGGGACTGGCGTTGATGCGGAAATGGTCGGTCTATTTACCTACCCAAGTGTCGGAAAAGACCAAAGCCGGTTGCCTTTGACCCACTGCCAACAGGCTGATTTGGTGACATATGATAGTTGCAACCAAGCTCAACCAACAAGTTAAAGGCTTTTAATTTGTGGTCACAACTAAGAAAAACCAAGAAAGCCTTATGCTTCTTGGGGTGTGTGTGTGTGTGTGGTTGGTGTATAGAGCATGTGCTCCTGGACCCCAATCGAAGAATTGATCGGTTAAGTGGTGAGCTGCAGTGATTTACGGCCAATACAAGTTGGGCAGCGAGCGATCCGATCCGCAGTTTCACTGGGGCTCCGGCAGTGCTGGGCCTGCTGCTGCCAAGCGCAGCCCGCAGCCATGCACAGGCGGCAGGAGCCTCCAGCGCCGAGGCGCGACACTCCAACTCACCAAAGGGTTACCTCATGGCGGTTACCAACTCGCGCGAGACTTGGCGGCCGATCGCCGATCTCGTCTCCCGGAGTTCTCCCATTTGGACTCCAGCCGGCTGGAAACGACCCCACCGGGCACCGGGCCGTGTTGCCTGCAAGGGTCCGTCCAGAAGGAGACCTGCCCTTGGGCGCAGAGGGCGCAAGGGCAAGGGCGTTTCTTCGCCCACTGGCATCAGTGCATGGGCCAAAGTCCAGACTAGTCACCCAAATGGCTTTCCCCCACAATCTACAAAGAAACTCAGGGAGTGAGGCACTCCGAAAACTCTCGAAACAACGGTGTACAATTGGTAGCTATGTCCATTTCAAATCGGTATCTGGATATGAATCTGACTTCGTAACGGACCCAGACATACCTTGGGGTCAATGTCCACAATTCTGAAGGTCCCGAAACCGTTGACCAATCGTCCGCCCTTGTATTGCGCTTTCGTCATCCAAAGGCTCTTCCAGAAACCGTGCTTGACTTTACAATTCTCCGCAGATTGGTATTTGGTGACATGACCGGGTGTTGCAACCGCATCTGGTCAAATTGCCGGGCTCACAAGAGGTGCAGGCAGATCGAGACAGCAGAAACCAGCTGCCCTGTCGCATCTCTCGCATCCCTGGGACCAGGTTCGCCAAATCTGGGGACCCCCAGCCACTGTCATTCCCGAAGAGGTCTCCGACTTCGAGCGCCTGGCGCGCCAATTTGCTCCAGCACAGATCTGGCCGTGGGTCAAACATGGGTACCCCAAATGGCTTGCCCGGGTAAATGGAAAAAGTCCTTAAACCTGCGGTCCAATTCCTGGTGGTTTCATTTTGACCCATACCCAAAACATGGACTAAAACCTGCGGTCCCCTGGTTTAGTGTTGACCCATACCCATCTGGAGCCAAAATTTCGACGCACCCACCGCCGCGCAGGCCTGCGCGGCGGCGAGCCAGGACAGCGCCCTGTGGCGAGACTCGTTGGGAGTTGGAGACCAAAACAAAAAACTTGAGCCGTCAGAGATGTCCAATGTGGCCGTGGGTCAAAATCCAAATCGTACCCTCAGTAAACATCCCAATCCCCACTAAAATAGACTGAAATGGGTGGTGACACCTACCCCAAAATGGTACCAGTGGCTTTCACCCACCGTGCGTGTGTTGGCCCTTTTCCGCCCTCTAGGAAACTCGACGCACCAAACTCCTGGACACCTTCGAAATCGAAAACTGGGCGTCCCAGCCACAGGAGCGCCATAGCGGGCGGTCAGGAAAGCGGAAGACGTGAAGGCAGACTTGTGACGCATACGCCTTGCTTGGGGGAAGTGGTGGGTGTGGCCTGGTTGCTGCCACAATTGCCGCAAGGGCACGCTCACTAGCAATGCTCGGAAGGAATGAATTGCAGCATGCAGGTCGATGGTCGTGCGAGCAACGCAGGCATCCTTGAAAGGTGAGCTGAACAAGACCGAGACGCCGAACCCGGGATCAGAGAAATCAAGAGAACAAGATCCGGCCGTCAAGAAAAAAGGAAAGGACCACACGCGTTCGCCAATCAATCCCCACACACAAAAAGCCGCAAGGGCCCCACTTTCAGGGGCAAGCTCCCCCCCCTTAAAAGCGGCCCCGGTGGGTTTTGCTCAGGTGCCGACGAAGGCCAAGGGATGCCGGCTGTACACAGGCGCTTGGCGCCGGGATATTTTGGGCGCCCAGAACGCGGGGACTGCAACTTGTGACTGCAACTGGCTATGGGCGAGATCCATTTCGCACCACTTGGAAACCATGGGGATGCCATGGGAAACCATGACGTTTCGTGGCACTTACAGGGGGATCTCATGATCTCAGGAAATTTCAGGGCTTGGAATAGGTGGCGCGAAATGGAAGTGTCCTCTTTCCACAGTAGAAATCTCAAGGGCAACCTTCCCCCTTTAACCACTTGAACACAGGACCGCAGATCCTGGGCTCTGCCGGAAACTTCTGCAACTATTTGTTTCGCATGGCAAAGATGGAGAGGGTTCCAGCTCGGCATTTCCCGCCGGAAAAAAACCACGAAAACCGCCAGAAGGAAACCAACTAACTCACTCTTGGACGGTGAGCTTCGGGGTATTTCCCACCAACTCCAAGCGGGAAATCCCCTCGCTGGCCGGAGCCCCGATGTTCTGTACTCGCTACTCGCTACTCGTCCGTCTTCTTCTGCAGGATGTCCCGATGGCAGTAGGGCACGAAGGCGTGCCCGTCGGCCTTGTAGAACTTGCTCTGGAACTCCTGGGCCCAAAGGCCCAGAAAACTCGGGCTCTTCAGGCGCCGGGAAAATCGGGCATTTGGGAACCCAAATGCTCCTCCGGGTCCGGAGAAGCAGTTGTGACATGCCAAGAATGCTCCTCTGAACCGGGAAAAAAAGGGGGGGGGTAAGAAAAAAAGTCCGGGAGAGAACTTGGAATCTCCACCTCGAAATCTTCACCGGGGGCCCGGAAATTGGGCACACCCCCTTGCTGGGGATGGCTTAGGGACACCAAGAAGTCAGCAAAAACCGGCCACCTTCCCAAATCCTTCCGCCAATTCACTGGCCTGCATGTACTTGAAGGCCAAGCAGATGTTGGGGGGTGTCTCGTTTTAGGGAGTCAAAAAAAAAGGGGCCAAAAGGAAAACCACCATTTTGGGGGGTCCCCAACTGCTTTCCGTTCGCCGGATCGGATCCAAGAAGCCACCCAGTGCAGCCGCAAGGTGTGCAGGAAGCACTCCATCACGTCCATGCCCAGCAGGATGCCCACCGTGGCTCCGAACCAGCAGGAGAAGGCAAAGTACCTCCCCAGCACCAGGACAAAACGCCCCGTGAAAACGCTCTTGCGCGTGGTTGTTCGTGTCTAGTTCTTCTCGATGTGGCTTTTCGCGGTTGATTTCTTTCTGCTCTCCTGCTAAGGCTTTGTTCAACTCTCAGTGGTTTAATACGGAAAGCCCATTAGTTGGCGAACAGCTGAAGTCCGAACATCCCTTGGCAAAAATGGCGCCAAGGTGTTTTGTTTATCAATTGCTGTTTCCGCTTTGTCCGGAGCCTGAAGCCTTCACAGTAGAGCCCGAAGCCTCAGATCGCTTTTGGAATCGAGGCTTCGGATTGCTCTTCTCTCCCCAAAGCCCGCGGAAAGGCGGAGAACGCCGCGCAGGCCGGTGAATTGTCTCAAAGGGTAGGTGCTTCTTTTTGGGGGATGCCATATATATATATGATATAATATGACATATAATGTAATAACATATTATGTATATATAACAATGTATATATATATATATACATGTGTACAAATCCGAATATATACATATATATATATATATATATATATGTACTCACACGGACACATGTTTGCACTTCTGATGGCACGGTTGTCGTTTTGTCCTTTCTCGAAAGGCCACGGGCAAGCTCCTCGGTTTTGCCCCGCGCGGACTTAACCCAGGCGCGTGGTGATGATGTTCAGCGGGAAAGGGGCAGACATGCCGCCCAGCAACGTCATGCCGAAGAAAACCAGTGACCTCATGAGCTCAGGGAGCGAGCGTGGTTCTTTCTTTCTTTCTTTCTTATTTTTTTTGTGGGGGGGAGGGGGAGGGTTCTTATCGTTTGTTATTTTTTTCAGCGTTTGTGGAGAAATCGGATATCCCGATTGGAGGTTCGAGAAAGACTAAATCCCTCTGGGAAAGCTTCGAGGAAATCACCCCATTTTGGGGAACTCTCATGATGACATGGCCCAGGTGGGATGAAAACTCCGGGGCCAATCGGTGTGCCTTTGCACCAAGCAAACCCGTTGGGGAAGACGGGAACAGAAAAAGAACAGGCCTGATATGGTCGTTGTGTTTACCAAACAAAATGTTTGTTTAATAATTGTTTACTATCCTCAATGTTAACTATTACTTTTGTTAATGATACGTTTGTTTAACAAAATGTTTATTATCATTTTTACTTTGTGTTTTCTTGCTGCTCAAGTTTGCAGGGTTCCAAGGAGCATAAGGCGGAACAACATCACCCGCATTTCAAGCAGGACCTCACTGCTGAGAACCTGTGCACCTTTCGCTGGTCATTTCTCCCAAGAAACGACAAGGGTACACCGAAAAGCCGCTGCTGCCAGTATTCCGACCCAGACCAGCTCCAGCACGTGTAGCTTTTCGGTTTTCGCTTTCGGGCCCAAAAAAACAATGGGTGTGGGTCAAAAATAGATACCCAGAATGGACCCTGGTAAGTGGAAACAAACACTAAAACCTGCCGTTTCTTCGTGATTCTTGTTTTTGACCCACACCCATACGGCCTCAAACCAACCAACCGGCTCCACCAGCGACCGCCCGACCGCTCGACACCGCCCGCCCGCCGTTGCGACCGCCCGCCCGTTGCGTGCCGCGGGGCAGCTGCTGGTGAGCCAAGGACAGCGCCCAGAGCCGGAGGTACGAGGCGGTGTGCGACACGGTGCCCAGCACATACTCGATGGTCTCGATGACCTCCCGCGGCGATCGGAGCCGAGAGGAAAAGAAAAAAAGAAAAAACGCCCTCTGGCGCGAGGCGCGCGGGGGCGGGGTCCTCTGACTTATGTTGCCTCCCAAAAATAAATAGCTGTCGTGGCTTCTTGAGGACCTTTGTTCTCAGGTTGGTTCAGAAAACGGAGCCGGAAAGCCGCCCTGTTTTGGGACCCTCCGGGTTTCAAGCTTCTGGACGCCTCGCAACTGCAGCTTTCTCAGGGTAGGAAGCTTGGACCCTCCAAACCCAATGAAAGTGGAAACCCTGTCCCGCTTCATCAGATTGACCATGTTCACCATTGACCATTTCATGTTACCCCACCCGCTTTGCGGACCGGGAGTTGCCCAGAAGGAACCTTCCAATCGTCGGCCGCCATGATCGGAGGGAGGGTACATGGGAAGTGGTGGAAAAGACATGCGGAGTCGAAGGATAGCATGCCCCCAAAACATGTGCGACCACTTCTTGTTGCTTGGCCCAGACTATGAAATGTCAAAGACTTGAGGGGTGTCCGAAGATTGGCGGATCTCCCCTTTCTGGGCTGGTACTCGTGTCAAGCAAGTCCAAAAGCAAGACAGCATCTGAGAGACTTTCCGCTACCCCAAACCCACTACTCAAGAAGAAGTGAGCACACACACCCTTCACATGCCACGAACACAATGATAATCCCCCCCCCGTTCTTTTCTGGGTGTTCTTGGGGTCCCGCCCATACCCAGCCCTCCACCCAGCCTTCCGATTCCTTCCAGCTCCCCCCTCCCCCCGAGTTCAAGAACTCCCTCGGCCTGGTGGATGGCGCACTCGGTGAGGTCGAACTCCTCCTCCTCCACCGCCTCCAAGCTCAGCGACTCCTCGTCGCTCAGCGGCAGGTGCCCTCCCCGGCCGTCGCGGAAGCACTGCGACGGCTTCCGCGCCTCCGAGTAGTTTCGGGCGCGGGGGAGTTTTGGGGGGGGGGGGGGAAATGTCTGGACCGCAACGGCAATGGAAGATGATCCAAGGAAGCCGAAGGTCCGAAAATAAAATCCGGGGGGGAGGGGGGGGGGGCTGCCACTGCAAAAGCGAGTTGGTCTTGCTGCCAGTTCGCGGTTGGAAGCCGCAAGTTGGTCGGAAGCTTGCTTGGGTGCCCCATCGTGCTTGGGTGTCTGCACAAGTTGCAATGAGATCCATGTGAGCGGCGCCCGAAAACAACTCCAACGCTTCAAATGAACCTTTAATATCACGCCCGAGCTCGTTTCTGCCCCGTCCAGACGCCTCAGTCACCCCGCCTGGTGCCGCATGTTCAAGATGATGGGCTTGGGGATCCTTGGCAAACCAGGCTGCGCCAAAAGCTCGCGGGACCCTCTCAACGACCGAAACATGTTGGCCTTTCAAAATGGTTCCAAGAGCTCAGCAACTCACCTCACCAACCAAACTACTTCCGCCCCGAAAAACCGACCCGACGTCCACTGAGGCCCCGTGCAGCATGAAGGGCACCGCCAACATGCAGGTCCCCATCAAAATCTGCGGCAACGTGGCCCCAAACATCGGGTTCCTCGGCCGACTCGACTCGAGTCGGCGGTCGCATGAGGATTGAGCAGGTGCACAGATCCGAAACTCTAAAAGCAAGCCAAGCACTCAGGTGGCTGTGGGTCAAAATAGGTACCCAAAATGGAGCCATGGTAAATGGAAACATGGACTTAAATCTGCGGTCCCCTGTTGTCTTGGCTTTGAACCCCCGCCCATGTAATTTAGACCAAACTTGAGCCATGAAAGGACCTGGCCAGACCAGGTGACCAAGGAGAAACGCAAAGGTCAAGCGGTCAAACGTTGAGCCGGGGTTCGAATCCTCCGTCCACATTGCCATGGCCTCGGATCGAATGACCGAAACTCCCTGTTGAAACGGCTGGTGTTTCAACAGAAGGATGGGTGAAAATAAAAAGTGGATTCAACCACCAGAACACTTGCGGCCCATCAACTCGCCCCTTCAGAGATTCCATCAGCTCCAAAGCTGGGTCGCGTTGACTCCCCAGGGCGTAGATTTTAAAACCAAGTGCTCCGCCCGAGGGTCGGTTTCGCCGGCTCCGAGCTGGAAAAAAAATCCGCGCCGGGCCGCGATCATCGAGTTGATGATGCTCGGAGGATTCGGCATGGGCGTGACCCACTTGAAGAGGACCATATAGTCCATGAACCCGAAAAAGCACACCATGAAGACCATCATGGGAACACACTCGCAGCAAAAGTCCACCTCAGTCGGCCATTGCTTGATGCTCCCTGTGTCTAGGGTTTCTGAAGGGCCCGTTATTCGCTTTCCGACTACCATCCCTTGCTCAAATGGCCAAGCAAGTACCACAAAACCCGGAAAAAGAAACGAGACAAACATACACCTGCGCCGAGAAAGAAGCACAAAGCCATCAAAGAGGGACAAACCTACGCCCGCGCAAAGAAACAAAGAGAAGCACAAGGCCATCCACAGAAACCAGCTGGCTGGCCCGTTTTTTTTCTTGCCTTTTCGGCTGCATCCGAGGCGCCGTGTTCTTCTCGTACATGGCGTTGGCGAAGCGCAGCAAGAGGCCTACGAACATCTGGGTCACCCCCAGCACCACCGAGAGCTTCATCTTCATGGAGTTCAAGTACCTCGGACTCGACACACAGGTGGTCGAGAAAGGTTGAGGTCATCTCCATCCGACTTGGAGGCTGGCTGTCCTCTTGCAGGTGGGTCCCACTCCCGATTTGATGAAAAAGATCGCGACATCTAACAAAAGGAGCCCGAAATTTTGCGGCCCAAAGAAGAAAAAGACAAAGCAAAGGCCTCAACCCCCCCCCCCCCCACCCAGGCCCGGGGCCCCCGGGGTCCCCGGCACCAGCTCGTTCTGCGCCCCGTGCCAGGCCGGGTCGATGCCGAAGGGGTAGGGCCCCGGGCCGCCTGAGCTGTGAAAGAGAGCCGCTCGCTGCTGGGAGGTGGCCGAAACGGGTCTTCGGGTCTTCCTGAAATTGCAGTACCCTTGACGGCTCTTGACGACACTTTGGGCTGTCCAGCAACAATGAGACACGGACATCCCGTGCAAATGGAAGCACCTGTTCTGAGGGTGTTCGAGCATGGGGGATCGTATTTCTGGGGATTGCACGGAAACCGAGACAGGGTCCTTGTTGAGAAACATCCAAATGGATTGGTCTCAATGTATTTTCATTCCACAACATATGTGCGGTTGTCTTTTAGTTTTCCCTGTAAACAACCAAAACAACAAGAGGATGGTCGCAATCATTCACCAACCAAGCAACCAAGCAACCAAGCAACCAAGCAGCCAACCAAGCAAGCAAGCAAGCAAGCAAGTTACCAACCAACACAACAACCAACAAACCAACCAACCAACCAACCAACCAACCAACCAACCAACCAACCAACCAACCAACCAAGCAAGCAAGCAAGCAAGCAAGCAAGCAAGCAAGCAAGTTACCAACCAACCAACCAACCAACCAACCAACCAACCAACCAACCAACCAAGCAAGCAAGCAAGCAAGCAACCAAGCAAGCAGCCAAGCAAGCAAGCAAGCAAGCAAGCAAGCCAGCAAGCAAGCAAGCAAGCAAGCAAGCAAGCAAGCAAGCAAGCAAGCAAGCAAGCAAGCAAGCAAGCAAGCAAGCAAGCAAGCAAGCCAACCAACCAACCAAGCAAGCAACCAAGCAACCAAGCAACCAAGCAACCAAGCAACCAAGCAACCAAGCAACCAAGCAAGCAAGCAAGCAAGTTACCAACCAACCAACCAACCAAAGCAAGCCAACCAAGCAAGCAAGCAACAAGCAAGCAACCAAGCAAGCCAAAGCAAGCAAGCAAGCAAGCAAGCAAGCAAGCAAGCAAGCAAGCAAAGCAAGCCAAAGCAAGCAAGCAAGCAAGCAAGCAAGCAAGCAAGCAAGCAAGCAAGCAAGCAAGCAAGCAAGCAAGCAAGCAAGCAAGCAAGCAAGCAAGCAAGCAAGCCAAGCCAACCAACCAAGCAAGCAACCAAGCAACCAAGCAACCAAGCAACCAAGCAACCAAGCAACCAAGCAACCAAGCAAGCAAGCCAACCAACCAACCAAGCAAGCAACCAAGCAACCAAGCAACCAAGCAACCAAGCAACCAAGCAACCAAGCAACCAAGCAACCAAGCAACCAAGCAACCAAGCAAGCAAGCAAGCAAGCAAGCAAGCAAGCAAGCAAGCAAGCAAGCAAGCAAGCAAGCAAGCAAGCAAGCAAGCAAGCAACCAAGCAACCAAGCAAGCAAGCAAGCAAGCAAGCAAGCAACAAAGCAAGCAAGCAAGCAAGCAAGCAAGCAAGCAAGCAAGCAAGCAAGCAAGCAAGCAAGCAAGCAAGCAAGCAAGCAAGCAAGCAAGCAAGCCAACCAACCAAGCAGGCAAGCAAGCCAACCAACCAAGCAACCAAGCAACCAAACAACCAAACAACCAGCAAGCAAGCAAGCGAGCGAGCAAGCAAGCAAGCAAGCAACCAAGCAACCCAGCAACCAAGCAACCAAGCCAACCAACCAAGCAACCAGCAAGCAAGCAAGCGAGCGAGCGAGCAAGCAAGCAAGCAACAACCAAGCAATCAAGCAAGCAAGCAACCAACCAAGCAAGCAACCAAGCAACCAAGCAACCAAGCAACCAAGCAACCAAGCAACCAAGCAAGCAACCAGGCAAGCAACCAGGCAACCAACCAAGCAACCAAGCAACCAAGCAACCAAGCAACCAAGCAACCAAGCAACCAAGCAGCCAACCAACCAGCCAAGGAACGAACGAACGAACGAACCAACCAACCAACCAACCAACCAACGAACCAACGAACCAACCAACCAACCAACCAACCAACCAACCAACCAACCAACGAACCAACCAACCAACCAACCAACCAACCAACCAACCAACCAACCAACCAACCAACCAACCAACCAACCAAAAACAACAATCCGTGCGAACACGACAATCAAAACCTACCACCAAGCCAATCTGCTGGCTGTGACTCCCCAATCCAACCCACCTGCAAGCAAACCGCTTGAACACCACCAACCAAATCCAAAGACCGCTCAAAAACCACCTACATGACGCAAGCACGTCAACAAGCCACCTGCAAAGCATCCAAAAGCAACCTGACACCCGTCCAAACACTATCCATCACCAGCCATCAACGAACCACAGCCCGAAGACCACCCACCTACCGACCCCACTAAAAAAAAAAAACTCCCAAAAGAGCCAACCCCCAAAAAAACTCCACACCCAAACCACAGGACCCCCCCCCATCCCCAACTCCAAAAAAAACAAAAAAATGAAGAAACAAAAACAGAGCCAACGGCCCACCCCCCCAGAAACGTCGCAACGCCGCAACGCCGAACCGCCCCACCGCGCCTCGGTTCTCCTTGTCGAAGGTGGGCTGCATCGCCACGGAGCTGCCGGGCTTGGTGCCCGGGGGCACCACCGGGTGCTCCCAGCGGGACCCGAAGAGGTTCAAACCGATGGAGAAGAAGTCGTTGTACAGGAACCCGCAGTACCTCGGCCCCGATCTTTTTTTGGTTTGATTTTGGAAACGGAACGGCCCAAGGATTTTCTGTTTGATTTTGGAAACGGAAAACCAAAAACACGACTGAGTGATGCAGCTGTCTTTGTGAAGACTGAAGGATGCTTTTGGGAAAGACGAAACACCGAGTTTTGGATTGAAACGTCGCTTTTTGTGGTCTTCTGGGGGTGCAGGCTTGGTGGCGTCGCCTTCTTAGCCTTTTGATTCAAACAGAACAAAACGACCTGAGTGATTTTTTTTGTTTTAACCGAACCAACCTGCCGGAGGGTTTCGTGCTTGTTTCTGTGTCCTTGTTCCTGGCAGCTGGTTTTCTACCAGAAGCTGAGGTTCAACAAAGGTGCAGAAACAACATGTAGGTTTTGTTCTGTTTGTTGGGGGGTGCGTTGATTATTACCTGAAACCTGCTGGTTGCCAAAGGAGCTAAAAAAGTCGCGTTGACCTCGGTTTCACCAAAACCTGCCGAGTTTGTGCGCTTGTTGTGCATCCTTTTCTTGGGTCTCAGGTTGAAAGGTCTCTTTGAGCCTGTTGGTTTTGCGTCGAGTTGAGTGTGTCTCTGTGCGCGCCGGTAGGGGCCAGTGCCTGGGGCATGCGTGAGGTTTCCATAGGGAGACCTGGCGGTTGGTACCTGCCGGTGAGGCTAGGGGCAAAGGGAACCCAAAAGGAATCGACCTGGTGCGTCTTACTCAATCGTCGCTTTTTGGGCCGGTTCAATGAAAGAGCAACCCACCACGGAAAGCACCTGTTTTGCGGTCTTGCAGAGTTTCGTGTCGTTTTCTAGGGCTTGTTCTTGACCCGGGTGTTGGTTTCAACGAGAAATGGTGGCTTCGAAGGTGTTGCCAGAAATGCGCAGGTTGAAGTTTCAAACCCAACCCCCAAGGCAAAGCACTGGCGCTGTGCCATTCTTGGATCAGATACCCTCCCTTTGAGGCTGGCTTGCAGATAAGCCAATCAGTTTCTTCCTGAGTCTGCCTCTTCTGAAGGCTGGTGCTTCAAACCACCCTTCCAGCGACAAACCACTCGCTTCTGGCACCGCTTTCGTGAGGACTTCGGCGCCCCGACCGATCCATCTCAGTTCTCAAAAAAAAAAAGGCGCGCCGCGCAGCTAAGCGCTCTTCGGTCGGCTTGAAGCAGAGCCCGTGCCGTGCAGCTAAGCGCTCTTCGGCCGGCTTGAAGCAAAAAAAACGACGCGACTGGGTTCAGCGCTCCCCGGCGACTGGGAGCAGAGCCAAGGCGCACGGCGAAGAAGCCCATCATCACCAGGATGTACCTGCCCTGGTGCATCACCGGCAGACTGAACTTCAGCTCGTCCGCCTTCCACACCTCGCACATAAAAATACACTAAGAAAAAAGGGAAAATAAGAACAATAATAACAATAATAATAATAACAATAATAAAATAATAATACTAATAATAATAACAATAATAATACTAATGATAATAACAATAATAATAAAGAAACAGCAAAAGAAAAAATGGCAATCTAAAGCGCTTCTTTTCGCAAAAAGCAGCTGCCCGCTGCAAGCAAAACCCCAAAAACAACGAATCGCCAGCCTCGCGAAACAATGATCCAATACTCGGACTAAGCCCGAGAGCCATGGTCACAGCTCAGTTGTGTGAGGGCCCCGGTCGCAAAAAACAAGCAACCGGGCGAGATTTGGTCGGGAAGTTGGACTCCAGCCGATTGGCTTTGCATCGCACTCGTGTTAAACTTGATGAAGGGCCTCTTTCTTGTCCCTAGGGGCCAATTTCAAGAGCTCCCTTCAAGCGAAGCGGGATGATGCTAGGTTGCAATTGTAGGCCCCGCCCTTCGGGGCGTGTGCCTCTGTTCTTAACCCCGCAAAGTTTCAAAGGGTACCACTCAAAACTACTGCCACGTCAGAGCTTGTCTGTTTCGGACGGGTAAAAAACTCCTACGAGCCTCTAAAACAATGTGTTCTCCCTATGCTTCCCAAAACTCGTGAGTCTTTCCAGAAGTTAACTTGAAGGGTCTCCGAAACTTGTCGGAAATGGGCTGGTTGCATAAAGATTTCCGGATTGTTTTGCCCTGTTTTGAACCGAGGGCGAGTGGGGGGAAAGGCTCGCCGGGGCGCGGCGTAAAGGCCCACCATGAGCAACATAAGCCCATGCCCGATGTCGCCGTACATGACGCCGAAGAGGAAAGGGAAAGTCACCTGAGACCAAAAAATGAAGGACCAGTTTATGTTGAATGCACCCAATGTTCCCCATTTATGTGGCCAAACCGAAAAGAAGTCGGCCATATGGTACTCATTCTCATTGGGGGCCCTTCAATGAGGACGGGGTGTTCCCATGCGCGTCGCTCACAGCTCGTTTGCTTCACGGAATGGTCAAGCAACTGTGAAGTCAGATTTTCCCCGTGACGATGTGCATGGCCTTCACATGCCGTCCCTCGACAAAAGTTCAGATCGAGCCATGGGCTCGACTTGACTTCTCTGGCCGTGGGAGGCAAAGTCGGCCCATGGGTCGACCATTTTGGGGGCAAGAAGGCGAGTGCCTGATGGTAAACCATGGCACGGTCATAAGCGAAAGGCCACAGCTTCCTAGCTGGACCTCATGAACTTGCCAAATGCAGCCGTGCTGTTCCTGGCTCCAAGGGTCCAGTGGGTGAGCCCAATCTGCAGACCCACCCCAAGTCTTCTCTCCAAACCAAACCCATAGAGCAACCCCAGCTCCCCCACGTTCGCCCCCTTTTCCCCAGAAACCCCCCAGAACCGCCGCCGCAGCACACCCCACAGGCCCCACTCCCGCTGCCCCACTCCCCAACTCCCCGACTCCCCGACTCCGGGCGGCGATGGTGAAGAGCGCCGGGTTCGCCTCTTGGTATCTCGGCAGGCCGTAGGTGTCCACCAGCACCTGACACAAACCGCCAGCCTTCGAGGAAAAATCCATCCTCCGGTCCGGGGGGGCGGGGCGTTGGAGGGGCGGGGCGTCCCGGGTTTCCGGTGCCTTTGCATAGCAAGTTCTTGACGAGCTGAGCGATTGCCGGGGTTGCTGATACAGTGGGGGTGGTCCCCACTGTGAAAAAAGGGAACTGTCAGGCAGTGCCCGTACGAAAAGGTGTCGGACACAAGTTGGGGAGGCGATCGATCCATCCCAAACAAAAACCACCACCTGGATGGTTCACTTTGGGGGGCATTCCATTTCTCATTCCCTGAGAACATCCCAAATGGGCAGGTCCAGTTGCGCGTTGTTTTCGTAGGGGAGATCTCGTCTGGAGACGCATCCAACAAAAAGGTTGGAATGGGCATGGGTGGAAAGAGCGGAATGGGTGGAACGGGACGAATGAAAATACAACCAGAAAAACAAGCTGGTTTACAAAGGTTTGCGGGTCAGGATTCCGACGCCTGGCAGATTTTGACCCTTTGGAGTACAGCTTCAACCGCAACCCGGGCGCAAGCTTTTGAGATTCGCCTGTCTGGGCCGCCCAACTTGGAGCAAGTCGGATTTCTAGGGTACCCACATATGTCCTGAGCTTACTCTCCTTTCAAGCCACGCGGGATCCAAAGCAAAAGCTCTTCTTCTGCTGCTCGCGAACGGGAAGGAACTGTGGCGCTCATTCAACGATCCGCATTTGCCAAAACGTCCGGTTCTGGAAGGTGAAGACCAAAATGTGCGTTTTCTCACACACGGCTGCGGGAATTCGTGGCGGTCCATCATACTGTTGTTCCTTTTGTTGGCTGCCTGAGGTCATCGCAGCCGCCAAACCGGATCAACATACCTGGAACCCAACCAAACCATGTTTGGTTCTGCGCAAGCAGCTTCCAAGCGACTTTGGGGCCAAAGCAGCCGAGTTGTTTTTTCCGAAAACGGCTTGGAAGTGGCTTTTGTGGACCCACCCCCTGCAGGATATTCAATGAGAACCCAAAAGAGTACGAAAAAAAAAGAACCTACCGGTGGGAGAACCGGTGAAATTCACAGAGAAAGCGCAACTCCAAACCCGGTCTTTCCCAGATCTCGTGCAGCAACCCAGCTTCTGGATCCACCCCTCTAGGCTTTTTTGACAATTACTAACAAGAACCTACCGCCCAGCTCGCGGTTCCCTGATGTTTCGTGTTTTACAGGTGACTTCCACGAGCGCAGCTCCAAACCCGTGCTTTTTGCCTGGAAGATGGAGGTGAACTCGTTGGTCCGGATGTAGGTGGGCGCAGTCTTCTTCACGGGGGGCGTCTTGTCAGGCACCAGCATGGCGCTGGTGTGCCCGGGCTGGGAGCTGAGCTGGATGCACATGGCGCGGATCCAGTCCTCGTCCTGAAAAATGGGGGGGCTTCACACGGTCCCCGTTTGTTGTCAACTCGGTTGCTTTCTGCTCCCATGCGGAAAGTCAATCACTTTGAGTGGTTTAATTCGGAAAACCCATTAGTTGGCAAATAGTTGAAGTCCCAACATCCCTTGGCAAAATGCACCAAAGGCAAGTAGGCGTTGAAAAGTCAGCTGCTGCCTTGAACCCCCCATCTCCCCCCTCCCCCCCCCCCTTCCCCCAACCCCTGTTGCAAAAGCGGAACCCGAAGAGAACAGTCCTAAACCCACGCCCCTCATGTTGAGCCGACCCCGGGAGTTCATTCAAGTCCTCCTGGGGGTACCAGCAGTTCGCGCGCAAGTTCATGTTGCCCTCAAAGAGATTCAGCGTGGCGTAGATGGCCTTCTCCTTGATGCAGAAAAGCCTGGCGCTTCTTAGGAACACTCTCAGCCTCTGGTTGTATATGCCGAATCGAGGCGCGGGTCCACCCGATTTTGTCTCCCGGAGGGACGTCCGGCCCTACACTCAACATGATAGATTCCAGTGGGGATTCCACCCAATATGGTCACTTTGGCAGTTCTTTCACGCTTTCCAACGAAAAGATTCGATTGGCATCCAAAAAACAGACAAAGCCCCCCGAAAACTCATGGAGTCAGAATGCTTTTCTGTTTGTTGGCCACATACCGCATCCGATGGCCGCGTGTTTTTGAGTCAGGGCCACCGACGGACCGACCGGCTTCCGTTTGCCGCTTCCGTTTGCCGCCTCCACTCCTCGATGAGGGAGTCCCGGCCCCTTGCCACAGGCTCCAGCAGGGACTTGGCCTCGATCAAAGCTCCCCGAAACTTTTTGCCGAACCGTCGCCCGATTCCTTCAAGAAGGCGGGGGGAAAAAAAAAATGGGGGTCCCACCTTTCCCCTGCTAGAAGGCTTCTAGGTGCCTCTCTTTCTTTTTGCCAGGAGTCAGCCGGTCTTTAAAAGGACCCGCCCGGAGCTGTTCCGTGAAATGTTCCGCCCCTTCCACGGGTGTTGTTGCCAGTCATATTCTTCCATTTGGTTAAGACCCCTGGAAAAAATATAAAAACAAGGTCCAGTAGTGATAAATTCCCTTTGAAACCAACAGGGGAAAATAATACAGATTCATGTCAGCAAACGGAAGTATTCCTAACTTCCCCACCCTGGGGGCCGCCTTCCCACTTCCCCACTCCCCACTCGCCACTCGCGCCTCGGCGCGCACGAAGCGCTCGTGGCCCTGCAGCAGGGACTGCTGGTCCTCCACGGTCTCCTGGCCACATGGCTCGCCCGCCCCCAAAAGACGGCCTTGGACCCAAAAATCTGGGGCTTGAGTCCAATTCCATTCTTTTCAACCCTCGAAAACCGGATCTTCGGACAAAAACCTTGCAGAAAAAAATATCAACCAAAACACTTCCACGAACACACAGACACAGGCTTGAAGGATGTCGGCAGGTTTCTAGGAGTACACTAGTAGAGTTCCACCAACCTGACTATGGTTTACATGGGCCACAAGAGAAAAACAAAAAAACAAAAACAAAAAAAAGCCGAGGCTGGAAGCCCTAGGGGCCCCAAAAAACTTGAGCAACTGCCCAGCCGGAGTTCCGCGATCATCAACAGCCTTGACATGAAGCCGCATGACGGGTTTAGAAATATATTTCCCCCCTTTGCTCGGGTGTTTCTCAAGTTGGGTCGAAGACAAACGATCCATCCGCGGGCCTTTCAGCCCGAGCCAACCCGCCTTCAGGTGCTTGATCATCTCCCCAGCCTCTTGGCGGTTGCCCGGCCACGTGTAGGTGTTCACCCCGAAGGAGGAGCAAATCCTGAGCCCACTCTGCACCATGCAATGTGCTGACCTCTTCCCTTAAACTTTCAGCCATAACCTCGGAAACTCGGCCCTAAAACCAGAATCCGCACGAGTGGATTGGCCCGACAAGGTCCAAACTCTTTATTTATCACAATCATCCAAGCCCCAAAAGCAGCAACCCGGCACCTGGCACCTGCCTCGCTCCCGAGGCGCTTGTTGATCTTCTCGCTCATGGCGGAGGCCGCGGCTCCCCCGCGATGGTCTTGGAAGTAGATGACCTTTTGGAGATGAAAACTGCGGATTTTCGCTTCAGCCCTTCAGCCGGAGCTCGACAGGACATCAGAAGAAGAAAAAAACACGGTTTCTGCCATGCGAAAGTATCTTCTTTCCAAATCTTCCCACAGTTTCGTTTTGCTCTTGGGGTTTGGCTCAAAAGGAAACCCCGCCGAGGGGACGTGCCCTGTCAAAGCGTGGTAACTACCCTTCTCAAATCATGACCCCAGCACTTCTTGGTCACGGCAACGGGTTCCAAAATTGCAACCCTTTTGGCCTCGAAACTCTGGTGCTGGCGGCAAGGGTTGATGCAAAATTCTGGGCACAGACTCCTTGCCAAGGAAGACATGCGCTCCAGCTCGTTGGTCTCAAAGGAGTCCCATGGTTAGGTTCACGTCAGCCCTAGAAGCACAGCTCTCTACGGTCAAGGATAGGTATTTTCACGGAAGATGGGGGGGCTCTGATGTTTCGATTCATGGGGTTGCCCAAGGCCTGATGTTCTAGTTTGGTCTCGGACGCCAGCCCATGGACCTTGAGTTCTACCAAGATGGCTGAGCTCTTGCATGGTCCTCGTTATACTACTCAACCAGGAGGGGCAAAAACCCACGACCAAATAGAAGACTTTCTGCAGACTACGGGCTTCGACCTCTGATCCAAGGCGCGAAGACCGACTTGTGCACCTCGCGTCCAGTCTTCGGGTCTTGCATGGGCTGCGGGATCTGCTGGAAGTGGGTGAAGGTGTTGCCTCAAGCAAGTGGAGAGGGATTCCCCTCTCTCAATGGCCGCTGGCCTGGGAAAATGCTTGCCTCAGGTATGGAACCCAAACTCGCCCGTGTTTTCTCCGCCAACTCCCCACAAGCTTCCAGAAGCCGACCCACACACCCCGTAGGAGTCGGAGAGTCGCTAAGAGCGCGGCCTCGGGTGGCCCGGAAGAGCATGCGCGCGAAGCGATCCTGCTCCTCCTGGTGGATCACCCCCGCGATGTTGCTGAACATCGTCTCCAGGCCCCCTCAGTCCCGCGGCGCATTTCTGTCTTCAGAAACTTGGTCGCAGACTTATTGAAACGTTGCTTAGCCTGATTTGGGCATCCCTTAGCATTCCCCTGAAAAGCCCCTGGGAATACGAAACCACCTCCGCAGCCTTCGGGAAGACATGGCTGTGGGTCAAAACCAATGGGATCCCATTTTGGTTGGTAGGTGAATTCACCACCCCATTTTAGAACCTATTTCAGTGACTCGGATCGAATCGGATGTTCACTGGAGGTTACCGGGATTTTCCCCCATGTCCTCCCGCCACCTCCCGCCACCCTCCGCAACCGAGGCTCTGCGGCTGGAGCTGGCCTCTTCGTCCAGGAGCGGCCGCGACGTCTCAAAGTCGAAGCGCTCCTCGAGAACTCCGACTTCGCGCCACGCGAGGCGCCGGGATCGCCGAGCTTCCGGGCGCATGCCCTGCTTACCATTGGGGCACGGGATTTTTTTCCTGGCCATACACATCCGGCGAGGGAGGCGAAGAGCGGGCACACGAGACAAACCGGGAGGCAACTCCCTGGAGCTGCGGATGGTGTCCAAACCACAAACTCGGAACAGGAAGCCCAGGGCCCTCCCCCCCAAAAAAAAGAGGAGTGTTCAATGTATCTAGCACCAAAAACAAAGAGAAAGTATTCACTCTCTCACACCCACCCCGAAAAACGAAAAAGAAGAAGACACAGTTCACCTGCCCCACCCGCCCAAACCCCCCAAACCCCCCACCCCCGCAAACCCTCCCCCCGCCTCCGCCCTGGGCGCGCGCGCGGAGCGGTTGGAGGCCACCTGACCCATGGAGGCCTCCGCCGTCTGCATCACGAACTTCTCCTCCAGCGCCGCGTTGCACTTCTCCAGCAGCTTCGCGTTGTTCTCCTGGCAACGAGCCAGCGAAAACGAGCGAGTGCGCGAGCGAAAAACCCGCGCGAGCCGGGGAGAAAAAAGAAAAAAAGAAGCCGTGGGAGCCTCCTGACTGAGCTGCGCGAAACGAGCGAGCATGTTTTTTAGGAAACAAAAAAAAACGTGGGGGAAACCCCGGGCAAAAAAGCCGCGCACCCGCCAAAAGCTCAGTTTGGCTGAGCGGTTGCTGTTGCGAAACAAGAAGCCGTGGGAACCACCACAGGCTGATGAACCCGGGAAAAAATTAGCGAGCAAAGCATCGAGGCCGGGAAGGGAACTGAGCATGTCGATACATTGAAGCAGGGCAGGGAGAAAACGCCCGAACAGAGAAAAGCAACTGGTCTCTTTGTTCAGAAAGGAAGAACAAAGTCTTCTGCACCATATCAAGATGTCGATAAACCCAAAAAGATGCTGTTGTTTTTGGGGGGGGAGGGGAATCTCCTCTTAGAAAATCCCCCCCCCCCTTCGGGTTTCATCTGCCAGGGCCACCAAAAAACAAACGCAATGCGACTAGTATGGTGCTCCTTTTGATCAATCTGTGCTTGGCATTACCGAAAAAATCTCGGGGGGGGGGGGGGGGACTGAAAGTAGAAAACCGGAAGCGCGCAAGTACCTGCCCAGCCTAGACTTTGTAGTAGAAGACTTCTAACTAGCGGATCAATATGAACCAATCAGCATGAACTGCCGCGCGGTGGCGCGCCAAATGCCTGGCCATTCGATTTAAAAAACATCTCCGCCGCCCATTGACCCAGCTCCGTCCATAGCACCTTCGGTCGGACCCGCCTGCGGTCCCAGCCACCTATGGTCATTTCGGGGCCCCGACTTTTTCAGGCCTTTTGGCCGTTTCTTTCGGGCTTGCTTGCCGAAAAAAGAGAGAGAGAGAGAGAGAGAGAGAGAGAGAGAGAGAGAGAGAGAGAGAGAGAGAGAGAGAGAGAGGATGCCTGTTGCCCTTGCTCTGGGTCCCCTCCGGGCGGGTAAGGCTAAGGGCGCCCCGTGTCCCATTCGAAACATCGAAACATCGCTCCTTGAACTGGATGAAGTCCTTGTGGATCTTGTGAAGCTCCGCCTCCACCTGGCGGGGAGTCGGGGAAACTGGGGCAAAAAAAAGGCCGCCGCGGGGGGGGGGGGGGTTGCTTGACATATGGAGATTACTTGAGTTGTAGTTAAGGTTAGTTACCATTGAAATAGTTATCAACTTGTCTAAACTGTTTAAGGCATCCATTGGACTTCACTCTTTTCGGGGGGGGGGGGGCTTTCCGAAGGGGCAAATCCCGGTTCCTTCAACAGGACGTTTTTTGTTTTTTTTTGCGAAATTCATCTGCACCCAACACACCCAGCGGTGGCGGCAGCGGAGAGCCGGCCACCCCAGCCTCGTTGTTTCCGTTGCACTTTGAAATGAAGTGCCCAGGTGGGCGCCCCTTTGTGCCCCCTTTCATTGCACGGCCGCCCAATGACTCCCAAGAAAACGTTCGGGGGTAGGAATGCTTCACAGACCAGCCTGGGGGGTGGTTCTTCCCTTGGCTCCCCTATACAAGCCAGAATGCTTCTCAGAAGTGCAACCCCCTATTTCCCCAGACCAAAACCCTCCACGGAGCTTCACCCAAAGAGTTCTCCGTTCTCCCAGTGCCTCGTCCAGCTTGTACTTGTCCGCGGCCTCCAAAAAGGCGTCCACGTTGTTCTTCACCAGCGAGGTGCCTGGCACCTGCCGAGCGCCCGCCCCCGAGCGCCCGGCCAAAAGCGGCCGAGCAAATGGCTAGTAGTCACCCGGTAAACACCCAGAAAGCCTTCTAAAAAGACAACAGTGGAGTGGTAACTATTTCCATTTTGGGCACCTTAGGTTTTGACCCACGACCAAATCAGCAGCAAGAGCCAGAGATCCCATGATGGAATTTAAGCCTCGCAATGTCTTCTAGTTGCTATGGATCCCTCCATGGAATTCCTAGATTTCGCAAGGTTCGTCTGGTTGCTAGGACCTCCCCTCACAAACCCGGCCCCCCCCCTCAAGTTCCGTGATTCTCGCCTACCACAATTCGGCCGGCCTTAGTAAGCTCTTCCAGCAAGAAGCGGATGATGCGCTCCATCTCATCAATGCGCTGTATGTACCTCGTGTCTCACTGGGCCACCACGCCACAGTCGACCGACTTTTTGGCCATGGCAGCTGAGTGAGCCATGGCCCCGTGGCCTCGTTATGACTCCAAACTATTGGAGGTCAAACTGGCTCTCAGCAATGAGGGAATGAGCCCGAACTGAACTATCCCTTGTGTTGCCTAAACAATCCCAAAGGTTCATTGCCAAAACCCCAGTTGATTCCAGACCGAGAATCATCAAGTTTCGCAGCTTTTGTGGACCCGTTACTCACCCCAAAGGGCCTGGAAATACAAGGCGAACCTTTGGAACTTTGACAAATGGCCCAAAAAGGATATCTAAAGCGGTCAAAGGGTATGCTTTCAACAACTGAGCTGGCTTGCTCACATGTGTTTGTTCTTTCTCTTCACCGAGCAGCTTCTTGTAGGGCCGATGCATGTCTCGAGCATTCATGTCCTCGAATTGCATCTTGGTATTCTTGCCTCAGCCGAAGGTCCCGAAATCCACAAGCCTCTCACGGTCGGCCCGCTTCACATATGAACCGTGGACAAAAAAAATGGCGCCCATTCCGATTCTTGCGGGGAACTCCGGTGGGCCCACATCCTCACCGAACCAATCATGATGGCATTGGAACCTTACGCAACCACGGCAAGTCCAGTCTCCGGTTTCGCTGCATCTCAACATCCCTTTGGCTTCTCGCTTGCTTTTTGACCCCGCTTCTTTTTGTTTGGGGCGCCGATGAGGTTCACGAACTCCCTGGCGCGGTCCACCGGCACCACCAGGGTGCCGTGCTTCATCGGCTCCGAGCGCAGGAGACCCATGGCGATTTCTCTCTCCCGCTGGCGCCCGGCTTCCGGTCGCTGAGCGGGTGGAAACCCGAGCCCCCCAATATTTGAAGATGACGGGTCGGCGTAAAAAACTGCTTTTTTAGGTTCTGTTTTCCGAAGCCGGCGGAGGAAATGGCGGCTGTTCTTGTTGCTCGCGCCCGTGGATTTGTTCCCCTTGGCTTTTTGTGATTGTCTCTGAAGGTTTCACAGGATCGGGAGATCATAAGAACTTGCCCCGCAAAAGCTAAGATGGTCGGCCTGAACAAAAAGGATCCGCGAATCCTGATGCCCGATCTTCTCCCTTTCCTTTGCACCTTTATATCAATTGTCGGGTTTTAATCACCATCTTGGGCAAGCGGTGTGGGTGACTCAGGCGGGGAGCAGTTCACTCCCAGAAAGCCCACGGATGGATTCCCGTGCGGCTGGCGGCCTGAGGTGTGACTGGAGCCGAACACCAAAGCGAGTTGCCGGTTGCGGGGAGGCCAATCCCCGTGACTTGGAGACGAGTTCAGCGGAAAAACTTAAGCCCAGAGACACGAAATGGCACAGGAAATGGCAAAGGGAGACCAGCTGATGAAACAGAACTGGTTGAGTCATAAGGTTTGGGGGGGACGTTTGGTGCCCGGGGGTGCGGACCCGCTTCAATTGCAAGGAATCCTTCACTTTTGGAGGGAGACTGGCCCCCACTTCATCAAGGTCCCCACAGCAGGAACCCTCAAATGGCTTCCTTCATTTCCCGAAAAACTGGAAAGCTGAACGGCTCTCTCTGACAGCCATCACCCAAAAACCCTAGCAAATTGCTGCAGGGCTCCTTTTTGTTGAGCAGCTTCCCAGGTTCGGCAGCTTTTCTGGTCCATGGTTCCCCTTACCAGGGTTCCATTTTGGTACCGTTTTTTTTTAAGGCCACAGCTCAAGTGAAGCAACCACCAAACCGGTGCGCATCTCGAACCGTGTTTCACTCTCCCTCCTCGCGCGCGCTCCGGCGTTTCAGGCGCTCCTGACGCAACGAGCCTGATGCAATGGAAGCTCCGGCCCCGCAGTTTTTCTTCGCGGGAATGGTTAGAAACCAGCTAGCATGATATGAGCGCGGGTGTCCTTTTAGGGGAAATTGATGGCCCTGGTAGATGACGAAACCACCAGGTAGACCAGGGCCATCTATTTTCCAGCAAAACAACCAAGCAGGACACCTATGGATATGAGGCCTGAGAGTTAAAACTAGACCTGTCCCCTTGAATCAGCCCATGTCCGCATGGGGGACTTACCCAGCCCTCGGCTAGGATTATGATATATACGCCGTAAGTTGTTCATGGCTTGGGCTTTGCTTGGATGTTGAACAGGAGCTGGTTGGATTGTTTTTGAAGCTGATTCACTTTGGAAGTTGAACCAGTCTGGCAGTTGAGTGAACAAAACTTGATGTGCTTATGTTGGAAGCTGAAGCATCTGGAAAGGTGATTGAACAAAGACTGATTGATTTCATATCTTGGAAGCTCCGCTTGTGGCACCACGGATCTGGCGTCCCCTCGGCCCGTCAGCACGTCCTCCCGCAGCTCTTGGTTCAGCACGTCCAGCTTCTTGTCCTCGCGACCGCGCGACTCCGCGACTGCGAGGGTGTGCGTAAAGGCAAAGGGAACACCGCCAAAAACACCAAAACATGCAACCCCCGCCATTTTGACACATGGCAGTGGGTCAAAAATATGTACCCAAAATGGGAATTTCGGGAAATGGAAACATGGATTCAACCTGTGGTCCCATGGTTTCATTTTGACCCACGGCCACATATTTCCAGAACACGGGGAACTCAGACTGATCTTTGACCAAACCCATTGGAGGTGATCAATCTGATGCGATCCCAAGCCCCCCGAAGCAACACACGCGCAGCGGTACCGGCACACCCAGCCACGCCTGCATCTCATTGTAGACGCAAAGCAGCGGCACCTGGCCCCAAGAAAGCAGAAGCGCCAAGCCCTTTCTGGGGGGAAGGCGGGGGCATCCCCAAACTCCCCATGCACAAATGAGGGTGTCAGACAACCCAAATCAAGAATCGCTCCCTCGCCCCGGGCGAGAGGGCGAGCTGAGAATCGAAAAGTCTCGGGCTGGAGCATCTGCTTTTGTACACCCGAGGCCAGGGCCGCCACCAGCGCGAAGTAGAAGATGGGCGAGCCCCACCTTAAACCGCTCGCAGGGATCTCATGGATCGCACCAAACTTAAGTGGCAAGATGAGGTGTTTACTTCCAACCTGTCGGTGGGTTTGTGGCTCACGAAATGGTTGGCCTGCTGGTTTCCCCTTAGCCCAAGAGAGGGCCGGGAGCTTCCAACTAGGTTTCTGTATGCCCGGCTCTCTTGCCGTGTGCCCTACCCTCCAAAAGTCACACGTGTCACCTGGATGTCCAGGCCCGTGCCGGCCCGTTCTTGCGGGGTGGTGTTCAAGGAAACTCCAAGGCAAACTGCGCCCCAGGTTGATTGATATCCTGTTTAAACCGGAAATATTTGTGCTCAATCAGGTCATCTTGACATGATTGTGTCCTAACTTTGCAAAAAATAGAGCTGCAGCCCCATTCTTAGATGGACGTTCCTATCACAATCTTGCCCACCCCCCAGTCCACCACTCTTGGCGCTTGAAGCCGCAACCGGAAGCTCAGGCGCCCGCGGCAGCAAGTGATGCGGCCTCACGAGCGCGATGCCTTGGACCTCTGAGTGACTGGGGAGTTAAAGACTGCCCCCTGTGGATGTACGAGACACCAAGAGGGAAATCAACTTTGAGACACACAAAACTCACACAAACACATAATTAAGTCAGGGTCCCTCAAGTGCCCCCTTTAAACGTCACCTCACTTAAAGGAAATTGATCTGAACATGGGCGAAAAGGTAATGTGCTGATCACCCCCAAAAAGAAAATCTAAGGACCTCTGTTTATCTGTCGAAATGGCTCATTTGACCGAGACTCGGAGAATTGTCTCAAGCCACTGTTCAATATGCCCCAGGCACAAATGATGTCCGCAATGTTGCCAGTAGGGAGCAAGGGGGCATATCATTTCTGCCCCAAGAGCACCCTGCAGGAAACCTCACATTGCAACATGGAGATCTCTTAAGGAGCCCTGTTGTGAGGGTTTGAATGGACCATCCAAACCGCTGGGACTTCCGGCAGCCACATCTCTGGCACGTCTCTCGGCGCCTCACAAAAGACGGACCGAAGGAACGAACAGACATGCGCAACACACGGGGTGTTGTCAAGCATATTTTTTGACCCATTTGGGACCTGGATACCAAAAAGAAAAAAAAAAGAAGCCCCTACTTTTTGACAAACCTGCACATGCAGCCCGTTCCACTCACATAAGCATCAAACCCTGGATCTACCCTCCCACAAGAAGCTAAGCACCGGCCTTGGCCGCAGCTATTTATGTTTAGTTAGGCAAGACTGCAAACCTTCACCTACCGGCCAAGGGTGTCAAATGACCATGGCGCGCATGAGATGCAACTTCTTTCGGATCCACCCAGAAGGCGCCCCTCACGCCGCGCCTTTGACGTCTGGCCCTGGGCCTGACTGCTGAGCCTTCGCAAGCATGCGCCTGGCCCGTGCCGGCCACGGGGCGACGGGGCCAGGGGGGGGTCTTTGCGGTGATTGAACGGAAGCTGAAAGGAAATCGGTGCCACGTGTGGTCCAAACCCTCTGCCTCAGGGGGAAGGAAGATAAGGACTTCGTGCACGAAATGAAAAAATGGGATGCCCAAGAAAAACTTCTGGCTCGAAATCTGTGGAATCATTATTCCTTTGGAGTTCAGGCAGCACTCTGAATCCCACCCAGTTTGAATCAGCATCCAGAACCCCTGGCCAGTATCTGGCCACCAAACGAGGGCTTCGATCGGCTTGATTATGCCCTTCTTGTAGGGTACTTTGCTTGTTCTGGCAAGAGAAACAAACGGACCCTCACCCACCCCTTTTCAGGCTCCCCTGGGGTCTCTGTGCGTACACCCATGGAATGCTGTCAGTGGGTCAGGTTCCCCTGTCGTGCCTGACGCCCGAAAAAGCCTCATCGAGGCCGAAAATTTCCTTTCAGCCGCAACCGCCCACATGCGGCGCGGAAACCCCGCGGAAACGCGCTCCGCGTCTGGCTGGGCCGAAAAAAACGGGGTGGGGCTGGCGTTTGCTCGGGGGATAAGGACTGAGGGCCTTGTGCTGAAGGATACCACTGTAATGATTGCCATGTAAACATCCTGCTTCGCAGATGCTCCAACGCTTGGTCCAACAGCGAGCGACATCTGATTCGGCAAGTTGCGGCAACAGTACTGCATGAATGGCACGCACCTTTGCACTCAAGCTGCCGAGCACTGGCTTCCCACCTTTTTGCTTGCCCAAGTCAAGGATTCTCCCCTGTTCCTTGCGACTGCAAGCGCGACATGATGTCTGACACGCAGACATCCCTGCGACGCGCCCCTTGCGTCGGCTCCCCTAGGATCGGATTCAGCTGACACTAATCAGGAGCCTCAACCAGCGGTGATGGGCAGCGGCGCGTGTTCCTTCACGGGACTCGCCTGACGGAGTGAGCCGCACGTGCAAGCCAAGGGCTTGCAGCTCTCTGGCCATGAAGCCCAGGCCTTCTCTTTCTCCTTCTTGTGGAAGCGGCCTTCGAAAAGCCCCAAGCCCGATTTGGTGAGGGGCTTGATGCTGTTGCGCTGCCGGACATGCCGGCGTGGGTTGCCACCCCTGGTGCAGAATGCTGCGTGTGCAGTGGGCTGGTGCAGCTGCAAGCTGACGCCCCATGCCCGTGTTTTTTTTTTTTTTTTTTGGGTGTGTTTCCTTTTTTGCGATTTCCCGCAGCGGTTCGCAGCAGTTGTGACTCCGACCCGATTGCCAAAATCAGAAGCCGGAAGTTCCCTCGTTCTTTAGAGCCCAAATGGGTGCGGGTCAAAAAAATCGGATAACCCCTGGAAAACGGAAGCAAGGGCTTAAAACCTGCGGCCCACTTTCCTGGTCGGATTTTCTCCCAGACCCAACTGGGCAACTGGGCAACTCACCCAACTGGGCAACCCAATTTTTCGTAGACCCTTTGGTACACATCGTTTTGGTGGGGATTCATGTGGCTGTGGGTCAAAAACCCGTACCCCCAGTGAACATCCGATTCAATCCCCACTAAAATAGGTTCTAAAATGAGTGGTGCACCCACCCCAAAATGGGATCCCATCGGTGTTGACCCACAGTCATGTCCACCAACCACCTTCGGTCCAGTTCCCCGCATCAAAATTCAGACGGGTCCAGGCTGTGGGCTCCCCGGCCGCTGGTGCGGAAGAAGTCCATGGGGCTGTTGCCCACCTCAGCGAAAGCGGTGGGGGGTTGGCTGGGGCTGTAAAACCATAGGCCACTGCTTGGGGGGCTAGAAAAACCATAGGCCACGGTTGGTTGGAGAAAAGGGGTGCCACTTGGGGACGACAAGAGTTTGGGGGGTCCAAATGGTCAGGGGTCTTAAAAGGACCCGATTTGCCGGGACAGGTGGGCATTCCGTGTAGTTTGGCCGGGTTTCACGTGCCCGTCCCAGCACAGCTCCGAGTTGCAACCCCGACGTGGGCGCAAGATCCCCCATAAAAGCGAGGGGCTATCCAGGAGGTTTGGGAAGCATGGAACTGGGAGCCCAACAAACCTAGAGGCTCAACGGAAAATCCACTTGACCGCGGCGCCGCCCCCGGCACCGGGGGCGAGGTCCGAGAAAGTCCCAGGTACCGGGCCCCTTCCCCGTCGTGGCCCACATGCAGCGACTTGAAGTACTCCATGCAGGCCAGCTGGTAATGCTTCCCTGGCTCGCAGTTCACCCGCCCAAAAATCCCAATTGTCCTATTCCACAGTCCCAGAATTCTTTTCCCGCCCCCCGGTTTGACCACCCACCCCCCCCCACCCTCACTCCCAAAAAAGAAAAAGCTCTTCCTGTGACCAACCCCCCACCCCTCCAAAAAACAAAGAAATGCCTTGCCTTCCTTGACCAGTTTCTCGATCTCCCCGACAAAGGCCTCGCAGCTTCAGCCCCTCGAAAGCCCCGATCGCCAGGGCAAAAATAAGCTCCGTCTTCAGAGTTAAAGCGAAAACATCCTCGCCCTCGGGTTGATTTACCCTCCGTCCCACTAACATAGCACCTCACAGCAGGTTCCTTTAAGAGGAAACTGATCTTCCAGGTACACCCCTGCAAGTGCATTGTTTGTTGGAGGAAGGGTAAGGGCAAATACTGTAGCTACTCTCATTCCTGTATCATGATCATGCATGCCTCGGGTGTTGAAGTCCCCCAAAACCTGGGGCGAACCCGCGCCAAATCCCGACGGCAGCCGCAGCAAAGCAAACAAAAACACTGCCGAGCGCCCTGCGGCAGGCACCCGCCACCTGCGACAGCATAAAGTAGATAGTGGTTGTATGCCCCATGTTTCCAACTTAGCCACGAGTCAAGATGTGACGATCTACTCGTTAGAGCCAGCAGAGTGTTCTATAGTGGTTCCATACCACATGTCAAGATGCGACTATATGTAGATCCATGGTGCTATATAGTGGTTGTATACCTATATATATACCACTTGAAAGTAGTGGAAACATCTTAGGCAAAACTCGGAGGGTCGACAGCGCGGTCCTTTCGACATGCACCAAACAGGGGACAACCACAGACCTCGACCATCTCCATGGGATTCCGTACACGCTGAATACACATCACCCGTGGCAGCTACCCAGTCCCTGCACAGGTACACCCACCTCCCCCGCCCAGAAAAAAAGAAGAAGAAGAAGAAGAAGAAATGAAGAGATCCTAGGTGTTGTTTGTGTCTGCGATGCCGCCTTAAGGACCTGCCGGGAAGACATCCATGGCTAGCCAAGAAACTGGTCCCAGCCCTCGCGCCGTCGCTAGCACCCGATGATTTGGCCAGACCTCTGCAGCTGGTTCCGCAGCGCCGGCAGCTCCAGCTGTCGAAACATGCACCCGTGCACCTGGCGGAACCCGCTGGCAGCAGGCTTACCACAAAAAAAAACGGGCGGATGTTCCAAGGGTCTCAAAAGAACCTGTGGCTGAAATTCCCACCCTCACCGTTAGGGTCTGACAGAAAGTCCTGAGTCGGAAGGACAAGTTGCACTGTTCGAGTCCTGAGTCGAAGGACAAGTTGTTCGAGGAAGGCCCTTGCCTCTCCAAGCGGAGAGAACCCTCGATGGTCCTCATGCATTGGTCGCTTTTGCCATCACCGGGTTATTTGTTTGGTATCTTCTGAAGGGGAGGAGGGCAAATTTGAGCCACTGAGCTGGTCTTAACGTGTGGGGTTGGCGAAAAACTGTGGACCCCCCCAAAGCCAAAAAAAAACATAGGTGGCTTGTTTTGAAATCCCTTGCAAAGCAACAAAAAAAAAAAAAAAACAGAAGCGGCCCCATCCTCAAGGCGGTGTTCAAGCATCAGTTCCCTTTGAAACTATGCGCGCGTGTCTCGTTAAAAACACACCTTGGAATTGCTGCTCGAACCCAACGGTTGCACCCGGCCCTGTCACCCAGCCCTTTTCGCCTGCCCGGGCGTCTCGCTGGGCATGGCCAGGATCTTCGCACAGCCGAAGCAGTTCGAACCTCGCGCGCACGACGCGCCGAGTCGGTGCGCGCTGCGGGAAGGGTGACCCCCTTTTTCGCGGGTACCGTTGTTTTCGAGAAGGCGTACATGGAAATTTGAGGGAACAGCCAAGTTGGTGGATTCCCCTACTTGGAAACAAATGACCTACTGGTGCCCAGCAGAAACCCAAACTGAATTCCCTGGGGGGTTCCCCTTCCTGTTCATTAAAGCAGTCCTTACGAACCAAGCGCACTTGATGCACTCTCTCCGAATAAACCCCAAAGAACCCGGAGGACTGGCAAGCCAATCCCGAGCCGATCATCCCGAGCCGATCGGAGCCGATCCCCCAAGCCGATCCCGAGCCTTGAAGATGGCCCTTCTTGCCGTAGGCGTGCTCGAAGTCATACAGGTAAGTCCTTTGGAGGCCCCGGGAAAGGAAAACCAAAGCCCAAGATGAAGGTCCCGAAGATCGAAACGAGCCGCTTGGGTGAACTTGCGGCCTTGCCAGGCAACTTGACGACATGTCTGACAGCAGGAAAATCGTGTTGCAGACGCGAAGCCCGCTGGTGATTGATTCATATCACGGTCGAGGACAATACGCGACATACCCTGGCTGTGTCAATGGGTCACACCCTTGGAGTTCTGGATTTGGGACAATGCCGAGCAAGGATCTACGGGATTCTCCGTTGGCAAAACCCGCTCGGAGCCGGGATAACCCACGCCGGATTCGTTCGAACACCAGGAGGCCGGACTTCTCGAACGACTCACTGGTGATCTCTGGATCTCTGCACAGCTCCTGCCAGTCGCGGACACAGCCCGGCGCCCCTTTCAGCGGAGAGAGCGGAGCGTGTCCAAACCAACCTTGGGAGCTGCCCAAGGAATAGATCCTTATAAGGTTAAAAAAAAAAAAAAAAAAAAAAAAAAAAAAAAAAAAAAAACTGAGCTCCGCTCACGACTTGCGACTTTCGACTTGCGACTTCGATCCTGCTTCCACCAGCGCACGGAGTCCTCGAAGGTGAAGCCGCAGTCCTGCCGCACGGAGCCGCGCGCAGAAGCTCGAACGCTTCCCGGACCCAAAGGACTGGTTTGGATGGGGGTTCAGAAAGCCCTGGCTTCAAGTACAAGGGAAACCACCCCCTTCATTGAGAGGCCAGCTAATTGTGGGTTGGTTGAAAAGGAAGCGTAAGGGAAAACATGAAAGGAAAAACTCGGCCGCCTAAAAACAGCTGGACCCTCGAAATGATTCGCTAAAACTCGGCCGCCCAAAAACAGCTGGACCCTCGAAATGATTCGCTTCCGTTTGGCTTTCCAACAGCGATCCCATTTTGAAAATGGGGAGCATCGAGGTTGGTCTGCCATTTGGGGGTTTCAGGCTGTCCTATAGGAGTCACCCTGGTTGCCTCCACATTTGTCTGAAAACATACTTTGCACCAAGAAAGCAGCTGCTGGAATCCTTGTGTCACACATCTATCTTGCTGGCTGGCGGGAAATCAGGGCTCCTCCAAAAGGAAACCACAAGACCCACAGGCTTTTTGCAGGCGCTCCCTCTTCAAATGTTTCGGCTGTCATGATCCAACATCTGTCCCCTGCATTCTCCCCAGACCTCCAGCGATCAGAAAAACAAGGCACCCGTTTTCTTTTTGCAGTCTCTTTTGCCAGCCAATGCTGGACATGATCGCAAACAAATGTTTGGTACTTGTCTAAGGGAAGCTACCTCCAAATCAAACTAACATGGACTCTTGTCACACTCGAAACCTGGTAAAAAGTTCTACCCAAATCCACAAGAATCAAAAGGTCGGGAAGTCCAAGCACAAATGATATGTTGGGGATTGACCCACCTAAGTTCGTGGAGGTTGCTGGAGATCCAGCATGTGCGGCCCGGGTTTTTGAGGGCGCTCACATGGCCATGGGTCAAAACCCCGCAACTTCAGTGAACATCCCAATCTCCACTAAAATAGGTTCGAAAATTTGGGTGGTGAATTCACCTACCCCAAAACGAGATCCCGTTGGTTTTGACAACCACAGCCACATGATCAAACCCCCCCGCCTCAGTCAAAACTCAAAACCAAAACCCTCCCGTCCTTAAGGAAGGGCCGCAGCTGGAGCCTGGCGGATCGCGGAGCCACGGATAGATGTTGAGGGGGGTGGATGTGAGCCCCCTTAAATCGGGCCCCACTTTTTCCCCGGATCCCCGCCTGCCGGCGTGCTTCAGGTGCTTCTTGTTCTCACGCCTCATGAAAATCGGATCCAGCCACGTGCTGCGGTTGGATGTGGGAGGGGGTGGTGGGCGGCGGGGTGGGCGGGGGTGGGTGGGGGCCATGGGCGGCTCAGGCCAGGCTGGTTCTAACCCCCCGGAAAATGCTGCCGAATGGACACTGTCTGTGAAGAACGGATTCAAGAGCCGAACTGATGCCCTCTAGCCCCAATCAGATCTGCTTGGCCATTGCCATTGTCCCTTCACCAGACACCAACAACGCACCAACGGAAAAAGACATGGGATAGGGGCAGAAAAATGGAAGGAGGGGGGGAGGGGGGGGCACGACTTGGCCAATTGTCCTCACTGAGACCCTGCAAGATCATCGAGTTGGGTTGTCTTGTTCTTGGGTGCCCTATTTGGGGCTGTCGTTTCTTTGCTCAATCGACCATTGTGACAAGTGTGACAGCTTAAGCATTACCTGTAGGAAAGGCTATGCAAGAAGATGAGCTTCTGCTTGATGTTTCTAGCTTGGACATGAAAGAAACCTTGTTTCAGACCAAACACAAAGGCATGTCTCACAGGAATGGACTGGTTCCCCAATAGTAGGGTAACAAGGAAAAAAACTATCCTCGTGCGTGCTAGATTTGGGTGAATCGACCCCCTCGTGGTAGCTCTTTTCTTCCCATAAGCAATCCGAAGCAGGTGGGGTTTCCCTCTTTTGCCGTCCCCAAAGAAGCCATCCTGCATCTGGCGACGTCTCGCTGATGTTCGACAAGCTCCGAAAACCATGTTTTTGGACACGTGACAGGTGGGTTCCATTTGGGCCAACCCCAAGAGACAACCCCTTTGGACCAGCCAAACTCTTGAGCGAAGCAGTCTCCAAAAAGTTGGCCAAGGCCTCCTCTCTCTCTCTTCTCTCCCTCTCTCTCTCTCGCTCTAGGAAACCGGTGTCTTCCCTGTTTTTAGAAAACCCGTTTTGGACCAAGTGCCAGCCCCCAAGAGTCGTCTGGGGCAGGCGCTGGCGCTCCACCAGGCGACGCATGCAGGGGGGGAAGGAGCCTCGAGTCGCAGGCTCGCGAAGGGCTCAGCCCGGGCGCCGAGTGAACAAAAACCTGTGGGAGGCGTGAGGCCCCAAAGCTCATGTTTGGCTCCAGGAGGTTTGGATTGCCTGTTGGGGTTCATGGGTGGTCTTCCTTTGAAACAACCCCATTATTGATAAAACCTGCGAATGATGGTAAATTCTGGGGATGTTCTTGTTCCCTACTTGCGATGGAGAGGAAAGCCACTTTGCTCTGGGTCGACACCCCGTATTAACATGACCATTCCGGTTGGAAAGTTGCAGGAGTCGATCTTTGAGACAACGACTCTTTATCCCGGCAAGTTGTCGTGGAAACCCAACAAGCTGTGCCCCAAAAAGGGACTCGAGAAAGGGCTTTTGGAGATCCGGAATTCGAAAGGGGCCATCCCAGCACTCTGCTTCCGCAAAACCGTCTTCGCCTAGGTGTTCCTCGAGATTTAAGGCAACTGGAGATCCAGAGGCACTCCGTGCTCCCCTTATACAACAGATCACCGGAAACTCCTCTTTGACAGCACTTGATCATAGGTGTCCTTTTCGGGGAAATAGATGGATATCCCTGTTAGATGAAATTCAACCACGAGGTAAAACCACCAGGTAAAACCACCAGGTAAAACCACCAGGTAAAAACCAAGAAAATCGCCCTCCATTTTTTTTACCAAAACCAAACCGAACAAAAACGACACATACACACGCATTTTCCCAAGGCCGCGGGCGGGCCATGAACTCCTCGAAGTTCTCCGGCGCCAGCTTCTCCCCCGCATCCTCCGAGGCACCACGGCACCGCGGCACCGCGGCACCGCGGCACGGGTCGAAGGCGCGGGGGGCTTTCCGGAATCCTCCTTTCGCCGGTGAAAAAAATGGGAAGCTCTCACACCTACTGTGAGTTCCAGCTGGTGAGAGAAAACTTGCAAAAAAGAAAAAAGCAAACAAAAACCTTGTACTAGTGCCAAAACAAAGATGCATGGTCCGTTCCAAGCCGAGATCTGCCAGCTTCTGAAGCTCCGCATTCCTTGTGGAACCCATCTCAACCCAGCGAAGCCGAGCCCCTCCCCCCCTTCCATTTTCGCTTCCGCACGCGCCTCGGAGGAGGTGCGGGGGCCCGCCACCAGCTGCAGCCCGTAGTCCTATGGCCAGCTTGGCGATGAATCTTAGTGGCCAACCACCGGAAAGTACAACCCCCTTACAAGGAACAAGCCCGCTTAGGCGGACGCATAGGTGGGTTATAGCCTAGGCTGCCAACATACTAACTTGGCGACTTGGCCGAACATACAAATAGGGAACCCCTTGAGAAGTGGTGGGTTTTCCAAATTCAAAGCCACAAGGCTCACGAGGATGGCCGTCTGGATACTTCAAACCACCAGGTGAAATATGTTGGAAACCTTGGAAGACCCGAATTTGGGGTACAGACTGTGGACGGACAAAATCCTGCACCACCTAAGAAACCCTGGAATGATGATTCAACTGCAAATACCAACCAACAATGGCTTCAACCATGCTTTCAAAGTGGTGCAGGTTTTTGTCCACCCACAGTAGGATCACCCCTTTGCGAACTGAGACACCTCAAAAATGGAGAGCCAGGGCACATTGATAGGGGCGCTGAGAAGTGGCCTTTGCTGTCCGTTTTGGATCCAGAAAAAATCCAAGCCCCACCTTGCGACGGACCCTGAACAACTCCCCCTCTTTTATAGCTTTCCGATAGGTACGCGAACCCATCTTGTAAGCCTCTGAGCAGCCGTACCCGAGACCTTGCTGCCGTGCCTCCGCCCCGCATCAACCTTGTGTTGCAGACATGGAGTCAAAGGAGTGGAGCTTCTGGTCGAAGGGAAGGGATCCAATGAAAGCGGAGGATACAACAGCGGACAGAAAACGGGGTGCGCAGGCCCCAAGGTCCGTCCGGCAAACCGCCCCACCGGAACCGTTGCCTGCAGCGACTTGAGGAAGCCCCCCACGCGCATGTCCATCATCGCGATATTCAGGCCTAGCACGGCGATTTTTGGCGCTCAATGGACAAAAGGAAACCTTTCAGGTGGCACGGCCAAGAACTACTCCTGTCTGGTCTGGGCCAACCCCCCTCCCCCACGTCTTGCCTTGCCTTTCTAAAACGACTCTGTTCTCCAAAGAACAATAAGGGCATTTTCAGCAATAGGAGACTTCTTTCAATCCCGCTTCCAGACCAAACCACCGACCTCGCGCTCCCCTCTCAAACTCGAACTCGCAACAAGTTCCTCAAACGCCAAAAACAAGGAAACAAGCACAATCTAAGAAACCAACTCCAGGAGGTTGGTTCCAAACACCCACCTAAACAATAGAGCACATAGAAAACTCCCAGAAAATAGGGAAAAAATCCCGGGGCTTTGCTCCTTGGAGCCTTTTGCCTTCGAAGAAACCCGCGTCCGAAGCTTCGTCGCGCCTTGGAAGGCCACGTTCAGGCCCTCCGCCAGCTGCTCCTTGAAGCGCTTGGCCACGATCAGCTTCAGCACGCTGGCGGCCACAAAGGCCTCAGCTCGGGCGCGCGCGCTGGGGCGCTGGGGGGGCGGGGGGCAGTGGACTGCGGCTTCGCGGTGTTTGGTCGGTTTTTTTTGGGGGGGGACCCAAAAGTGGGACATGAATAAAGGTGGGGGAAATCCAGGTCCGCCACTTGTGAGGGTAGCTTTTCGGTCGAAGTTCAGACAGTTTTGCCGGAGTGCAGGGGTGCTTCCTAGACCAAGGCTTCCTTTGCCAAGTGCCCACGTCCATCCGCCACCCCCGCTTTCGAGGGGGGGGGACAAGGCAAGTAACAAGGGCGAAACACCAATGAGTCAGTGTCTTAAACCAGGACCAAAAGGTACCGTTTTAGAAAGCCAAAAGGAGGATGGTTGAAAAAGTGTCTGTGGCCAGCAAGAATGGAAATACCCTCAGGCAAATCTGGCATCGCCTGCGTCTTTGGCGTTGCCCCCCCCCTCGGGCTTCCCCGTCTTTGTTTGTGTGTGTGTGTGCGTGTGATCTTACGCATCAAATCCAAACACACCAATATGCGAGCCACTGACAATATCCTTTGCTCCCCAAGAGACTGGAAAAAATGGGTGGTCTTCATGAACACTTCATGGGACCCCATCACTTCAAGAGGAAAAGTAACAGTGCACCTCACCATGTTAACCGCAAACAAGATTATAAATGCAACAACGAAAAGAACGTAAAAATTGTCAAACCCGCAAAAACAGATGGTACAACCCATGCCAAAGTGGTGGATCCACCGATCCCCCGCCCGCACCTTGCCGCGCTGAAGCATCACCCGCCGCCCGGCAATGAGGTGCGGGGGCACCTAGGAAAACATGGGGCCCAAAACCCCGGGCGGCTCTTCCTCTGGTTTTTTGGGTTTGTGTCTTTCTTTATTTGTTGGGCCTTTACATGTGCAACTTGCTTAGGTGTGTGTGTTTTGCCTATGTGTGCGTGTGGTGTTTCCTGTGTTTATGCTCTCTTTGCAAACTGTTTGCCGTGGTTTCCTTACGTATTTTTCCCTGCGTGTCTTGCTTTTGATTGTTTGCGTGTGTAGTAGTTTTGTTCCAGCGCTTACGTTCTTCTGTTTGTAAATGTTTGACTACTCCTACTTTTTTCTGGTCTTGCTTGTTTACTTACTTTGTGGGTTTCTGTATGCGATGTGGGCTCTTTCCAAACGGTTTGTTGCTTGTTTTGATGGCTGCTTGTTCTTTTCAGCTGCAAGAACCATCTGTATGCGATGTGGGCTCTTGCGGGAGGGTGTGTTGCTTGTTTTGATAGTTTGTTCTTTTCAGCTGCAACAACCAAAGTGATCCACCTTTTCTCGAATTGGCATCCGTTTTGGTACGGTTGTTTGAAGGGAACCCACCAGGCAAGTGGGGGCCGAACATGGCTCAGCCGTCACCTGCTTGAACAGCTGCTTTAACTCAACCATGCCCAACACTGCCAAGGCTGCCTGAAAATTCAGAACCGACGTGTTTGTAAATGTACAATACACATGGGGCGGTTGTATGCAACAAAGGCATGTGCGCCGAAACCACCCTCGACCCTCCAAACTAAGTAAAAGAAGCCAAGTCCTGCAACAGGGATGAATCACGACCTTTCATGGCACCTGGATTGACTCGTCGCTCAACATGCACTTTAAGCAAAGAGTTTATACCGCCCCCCATCGAGGAACCTCACAATTGCTGCTAGAGTGGAGGGTCTAGCACGTTTGTTGGCCTTAGAAAGGCCTGTCTTCCCTTTCAAACCCAAAAGACGGGGTTGACATGATGCTGGGCACACCAAACCTTAAAGGGACCCTCAACGCCTCCTGAAACGGGAGGGCGTAGAAGACCTGCTCATACTCCGGGACCTTCCTGCGAAACCGCGGTTTCACCGACAGACCGCCAGAGGTTCCGCCCGAGCCAAACCGGCCACTTTAGGAAGACAACCCGAATCCGAAGACCTGAAACCTGCAGGCGGATTTGGGCTCGAACTCCTCTCTGATGACCCAACTCGCCGCCAACTTGCCGAGAAAACAACATCATATTGGTTTCTGAGGGCACTCTGACACCTCATAGGTTTGTTTGAAAGGAAGTCAGAACGACAACCACCGGATCTGTTTGGGGTCGCCCCTCATTTTGACACACGCCCGTATCACCTCGACGCAAGTACCCGGCCAATCCCCTTCCTCCCCAACCAGAAAGGAAGAAATCTCATCCGAACAGGGTCATGTCACCTCCAAACACTGGTCGTACACCCCTCAAAACACAGGTTTGTTTACAATACGGATGGTCTTCTTGGGGCTTCGCTTTCAAAAACCGACACAAGAGGGCTCCAAAAAACAGGAACTGACGCACCCAGACACTGACCTTGTCATTCTCCCGAATGGTCAAACATGTCTTATTGTCCCCCCCCCCGCCACAAAACAATCAAGCGGTTTCCCTTTGCTTTGGCGGGGCAAGGTCACATTATGAATGGCCGAGCCCTGACAACTATCGCCCCCCCGTGCCCCCAGCAGCCTCTCTTCAGACCAGATCTTCGCCTCAAAGGCGGAAAGGCCACCAAAAACGCTTGGGCTGGGTTCCACAAGCAAGCCCGAGTCCCATAAACAAGCTCACCTCCACATGCTCCAAGATGCTCCAAGATGCTCCAAGAGTCAAACCACCTTTTCTTTGGCGAGAGAACACGTCCCCGAGGTCGACACAAAACCCCCGCCGGAGCCGGCTCCTTTCCGGCCCCTTTGTCCGAGCTGCGCCCGCCGTGCACTTCTGCAGCTTGTCCAGATTGGGGCCGTCTATGAAATTGTACCTGGCTATGTCATGGCGGTATATATACATATGGGTCAAAAATGAAACACCAGGGTACCGCAGGTTTTAGTCCATTTTCCCACTTGCCAAGGTTCCATTTTGCGTACCTATGTTTGACCCATATTCAGGATTCTTTGGTAGGAATCGGAAACGGACCCTTTAGACCAACAGCCAAAGGAGCAATGGAGCCTATGGGTATGAATTCAGTGGCGATGGACTCCAATCTGGTCATCTAGTATAGTTCCCAGCTGGAGTCACTCCGGAACTCGGATAAATACATGGCCCTTGTTTGATGGCTTTAAAGGGAAACCACAAGGAAAACCACCTTCTTGTTTTGGGGGGGGCGGGGATCCCGTATTAAAACGACCCGCCTAGGGGATTTGCATCTCCCGTTTGAGGGTACTTTCCGGGGACCCTCTCCAGGCCTGCTGCAGTCCATGCCCATGACAGCTATGAAGGCCTCATGGCCGCCCACCCCACCCCTCGCCCACCCCACAGCAGATGGACTTCCCCTCGAAAAACAGCGCCCAAGCAAAAGGCGGCCCAAGGCTCTTGATGCTTTCCTGGGAACACATCAAACCTTACATGGGTCCATCCCGAGCGCGGGATGGAAATGTCGGATCCGCAGGTTGGGAACAACGAAGATGAGCACTCAGCACACTCGAGTCAACATCAAAAGCATGCAAAAAAACAGTTACATTGTCCGTCTTGGGACCTCAACAGGGCGTCGGCTTTTGCCGCACATGATGCCGCACCTATTTGAGCACGGCTCAAAAATCACGAGCTGCGGTCACACAAGTTTTGGTCTTTGGTTCCACTTACCAAGGGGCCATTTGGGGACATGTTTTTGAGCCGCAGCCATTTGTACGGCAAAGAAACGGAATCCCGTCCCGTATCTCTTCATCTACCCGCCTCCTTTGCCTCTGCGCTGAGAGCCTGTCAGCTGAGGGCCCAGAGGGCACTCACCGTCCCCGTGCGGCAGACCCATTTGGCTGTGGGTCAAAAATAGTTACCCCAAATGGCACCCTGGTCAATGGAAACATGGACCAAAACCTGTGGTCCCGACCGTCCCCCCACCCCCCCCCCCCGGATTGGACACTGATCCTCCGCCCGGCAACCTCCTTCTCCGCAAAAAAGGTTTTCTAGGGCTTCGGGCCTGCAACACAGACTGCACGTTTCGATGCCCCCCCCCATCCCTCCCGGCAAAAAACGAAAAAGTGACCACAGCCCAAAGGGAGCTCCACAAATCCATCGCGCCTCGAAGCGCAGCACAAAGAGGCGCTGCTCCTGCCGCAGGAACCACTCCCGCGCCTCGCAAGGCGAGAGAGGAGAGAAGGCGACCAAATGGCTGGAAGCAAATGGCAGAACTCCAAGACAAGACCCAAAACGTGCCCACCAAGCCCTGAAAACCGTTTCAAAGACTCAAGTCTTTCCTTCCCCCCTTAAGTCTTACTTCACTTACTTCTCCCTCACTTGACCCACTGCCTCCCACCCTTCAGGCTGCGACATCTCGGGTCTTGCAAAAGGCCAGGCGCAGCGCAAAGTGGGACACGGCGTCCCGCCCTCGGCGTCCCAGGCGCATCCGACCGGCGCATCCACCGTCGCCAAGCTTGGCCCCGAGGGATCCGAGGCACGGGCTCACGAACTCCGCCTTGTCGGAGAGGAAGCTCTCCATGCGCTGCTTGCCCTGGGGGTAGCCTCCACTCCATGACTCGCTCTCTCACTCCATGTCTCTCTCTCATCTCTCCTCTGCCTAACCTCAGATTCCTGGGATTCCGAATCCGGTGCCAGTGTGCCCCTTCGCGCTGGGATCAGTTAGACCGGCCTAGGATCAAGCTGCAGTCGTTCAGGTCCTTGGCCAACTTCGGCCTCGGAAGTGGGCATCAAACCGAGCTCACTGCGGTCTCATTGCGCTAGGGCGCTTCAGCTGGATCATGTTCTCCAGTCGGAAGTTCTCACCTTGGAAAAAGAACCAGCTGGAAAAATCAGTTGGGGGTACCATTCGCGGCGTGTACATGCTGATTTGATCATGTCTGTAGCGCTCCAAAGGGGGCGCCTCCTATTTTGGCCTAAAAGGAAAATTAGCCGAGGACGTCAAAGATGCTGGTCTCCTCGTCAAATAAAACCCCCACTGCATATGTGCGGCAGCGCCTGACAAGGCCGCGGCCGGCGCATGCCCGGTCGATGGCGTGAAGGATCTTCAAGCGGTTCGCCGTGAAGTCCTGCGCGCGCACACACTGCTCCTGGCGCCTTCATCCTGGGGCTGTGACCCGTCAGCACCGTCTTTGAGCCATGCCATCCGTGTCACCCCAAAATAGGGGAACACGTGCTGGTGGGCGGCATTCCAGTGTTTCACCTGGCTTCATCAAAACCAGCTGGGCAGCTATCAGCTATCCAGCTTCGGAAAGGGGAACACATTGTGGTGGACGGCTAAATTGTAGGAGACGACCCGATGTTGTGAGCTTTGTGCACAGGCCACAGGCACCGCACGCGCACTGCCAAAGATGTCCTCGAAGTCGCGGACAGAGACTTCCACCTAGCGCCGAGCTCCAACCCTCCCAGCTGCCCTGCAAGCCACCGCAAGTAGGCCCCCCACGTCGGGCGGCTGCCTGCGCACAATAAAACCCGCGCCATGACTGAGCCCTGCGCACGTGACTTCTTCAGGAAGCAAAAGCTGGGATAGGAACACAACTCACATCCGCATTGCAGACCCCCGCTTCCCGATTCGGCCGAGGCGCTTGTAGAAGCCGAGCCCCAGGTCATCCCCCTGATAGGTCTTCCGCGGCGCGGCCGCAGAGACGACCTAAGCCCGGGTCTGCTGGGTATTCGGCCCATGGCGAGATTCCTGCACCCGGCTTCTGTGTTCATCGTGACTTGTATGTGTGGTCAAAATATGTGGTCGCCCTTGAAAGAAACGGGAGAAACCCGAAGGCCCTAGGATTTTCCAGCGAAAAGTTCCCCTCCCATGTCCCTCCCAACTGGACCAGAGTCAACTGGAAATGTTGACGGAACCTCAACAAGGCCCCTTTTACATATTAGCAAGAAAAGTCGCTCCAAAAAGGCCTTAAAGGCTGAAGCGTGAAACCACTGCCAACCCACCCAAGGAACATGTCTGTATGGGTCAAAATTCACCCAGGGGACCGCGGGTTTTAGTCTTTGTTTCCATTTGCCGGGTTCCATTTTGGGCACCTATTCTTGACCCACACCCATGTAAGAACCTCCGCATCCAAAGCCACACGCCTGACCCTCGGGCTCGCGGATTCGCTTCATGGCCTCCCGTCGAATGGGACGCCCGCCCCTCCCCGGCCCGGAGAAAAGGGGGGGACAGGGAACGGGGGCCTGAGGCATCTCTTCAAGGACTGCGAATTGTCATGTCAGTCATATCGACTTTGTCAGGGCCTCCTTGGCTTTAAAAGGCCCAAAAGCCGCGCCTCACGGAAAAACAAAAAACACGCGCCAACCCTGAAAGCCGAAGCGGCGGCGCCATGTTTGGCAGGTCTGAAGCTGCACTGCCACAGTTCGGGTTGCGGTGTCCAAACATTTTCGGAATCGCTTTTGGCGAGTGCATCTACAGAAAGAAATAGGGGGGGGAAACCGCCACACCCGCCTGCCTGTCAAATCTTCCGAACCTTGCTACCAACCCTGCCAACTCATCTTTTGTTTCTCCACGCAGCCCGCGAGCTCGGAACCCGCCGAACGCGCGTCACATACTCCTGAGATCAACCAAGGCGGCCCCCTGCGAATAATGGAAGTCTTCAATCTGTGTGGGACCACGATCATACTTGATACTCCAACAAATCGAACACGGTACATGAGTTCGGGTGCTGAAATCACACACATGGGAAACTATCCCAATATGAAGCGCAGAACTGAATTGTCTTAGACAAGGCAAACATTTCTTGGACAGGCGGCACATTGGCACCGTGGTCTCAGAATCCTTCCCAGAACCCTTGTTTTTAAAGGATTCCCAGGCATTCTTCAACACCTATACACATCAAGCCAGTGCTCTGTTCCCGATATAACAACTGTTTTCTTAGACTGTCAGATTGCAGGGAAGATGCAAGAATATTCGAAGTGCCATTCTTTTGCATGGTCTGTTCAATTGCGAACACAGGTCAGGTACCCCGTAAACAGGGTACATATTGTTGCTTCTTTGTAGGCTTGATGTTCATGGAGGTAGCGTGACTCTTCTTTCCAACACACAAGCCAAAGCAGAGGTCATTGGGTCATCGCTCTCCCCAAATTTCGAATCAGTGCGCCTTGCTATTAATCATGGCAATGGCCAGGAGATCTTCTTAGCATGATTATCTTCCACTCGCTTACCAAGAGGGCCATTGTGGCTAAGGATTGGTGCGCCCAGTCAGTCCTCGCCATGTACGGCACCTGCGGAGGTTGACATGGACGTGGCGACAAAAACGGCACCGAAACCGGTACCTAACGGACCACCCTCGCCCCCTTGTGTTGCCACATAACAAAGCAATCAACGCCATGTCAGCCAGTTCCTGTTTCAGTATCAAATCGAAGATTTGAATGCGTGTGTGTGTGTGTGTGTGCGTGTGTGCGTGTGCGTGAAACAAATCAAAGACCTCGCGATCCCTCTGTTATGTGCGTGCTCATGCTACCGCCTTTTCCTTTGTGTCCCGGACGTGTTTCCAAGGCATGGTGAGGAGTTCTTGGATTGAGCAGGATCCAGAAACCCGAGCTGATTTTTGATTCTGTAGTCCAGTCATACAGGTTTCTGTAGGCCTTCCTATTGGCCCAAAACACAGAACTCTCGTTCGTAGGGTCTCATTCTGCTTAAAGATTTATATGGGCCCGCATTCTACACACTCTTTCAAACCAGCCCAATGTGTTGGCGTCCGAGTTTTCAAGCCAGCCTCAAGAAACACCGGCCAGCGTCTCCTTGCCTCCCCCTTTCCTATAATTACTCCCCTACCCTCCCTCCACATTCAAAACCCCTGACCTTAAACTTTGGGTAGCCAGCTTTGGCGACAGCAAAGCTGCAAAGCCTGAAAGCCTGACATGTGAGTCATAAAAGTTTTTCCTTTCAAGCCGTAGGGGAAAAAACATCCAGCCGACCCCAAAAAATGCCAATACGCATTTAGCTACTAAGCTTCAATTAGCCAATACTAAACCAATACTAAACTCTCCAGAAACCAAATCAACTCACCCAAGCTCCCGGGCTACCTTGTGGTTTTTTGTTCGTCCAGTCTCCATTACATTCCCTTCATAAGGTCTTACTCAAGTTCAGTCAAACAAAGGTTGCCTTGTGGGAGAGGTTATTATTAGGGTCTCCATTTCTTACCTATTCACTTCTGCCAAAAAGAGAGAAGAAAAAAAGCCTTCCCGCAACAAGCTCTTACTCAAAAACAAAAAGCATTCTGAACCTTTGCCTGCAAGTCCAACATTTAAGAGCCCAATGCCAAAGAAGCAAACGCGGCCTGCAACACTTGGCCGTGGCTCAAAAAGCCCGGAATTCTAAAATGGCTTGAACCCTGGCAAGTGGACACATGGGCCAAAACCTGCGGTTTTTCACCCCTCTTGGTTCTTCTTGAGCCACGCCCAGTTCTCGCCAAAAACCCGAAAAACCGCTTCCGCGCCCGTCCCTTTCCGTTCCTTCGGGCGCATGGAGGGCCGCATGGCAGGCGCTGACATGCCGATGGGCGCCTTACGGCCGGACCGCCCGCCCAGAAGCCAAGCGACCGGCGCAGTGCCACGGGGGAAGCGACCCGAGCAGCAAAACTGGGCTTGGAGTTCAGGCAAAAACACGCTGGATCTAGGAACAAAAGCCGGAGTCGGCCGCTTTTTTGTGCACCTGCTCTGTGGATTTGTTTCCTGTTCTTCCTTCCCCATGGTTGCTTCCTTCGTTTTTTGGGGAAATCGTTTAGTACTCTTCTAATATCCAACAGGGGTGGATCCACAAAAGACACATTCAAACCGTTTTCCAGACTGAGAGCACCAAGAACAGTGGAGCTGTAGCAGTTTGGTCTTGCAAAAATACACGTACCTTTTTCAAGAGAGTATACTTTAAGCAGACCCAGTTCATGACATTGCCAGTTCAGTTGAACCACAATATGATTGAAGTATTGCTTTTTCAAATCGAAACGGACACGTATAGTGAACTTCTAAACTTTAAAATACTGTTGTATATTTGAAAGGATACTCAGTATCCCTTGTTGTGGCGGTATGTGGGGGCATCGTCCGTGGCAGCGGGGAGGAACAAACCTCAAGAATGGGTGTAACTCGCAGGAAATACCCAAATGAAGGGTTCCTAGTACCTTTGGTAGAATGACCCCAAATGGTCACATTTGAAACCTGCTTTGGCGTCCCTAAAGGCACTTGCATTTCAGACATCGTTCTGTCAATCGACCGCTCACCGAACCCTCGAGCGAGGCCCGGAGGGGCCACCTGAGTGCCGCACAGATCCGGAAAAGACCTTCGCATCGAATCCAAGGGATTAAACACCCCAAGAGATATTCCGAAAGGGGAAGGCCCGGCCGAAAAAAAGCAACATAACACAACGGCTTTTTAGTTGGTACAATGTCGAGCCCATGAAAAGCCACGAAAGTTTGCCCATTTTCACCCACGGAAAAAAGCAGATTCTTCTAAACAAGGGGATGGGGAGCTGAAAGTCAGCTCCCGCCTGGCGCAGGGCAAGCAGCGCCCGCTGAGCCGTATCCTGGGCGGTTTGGCTCCAGAAAACCGGCTGAGATGAGAATTTGGCCGGGTTTGAGACAAAAAGGAAAGAGTACCCTACCAGCTAACATGGAAGCGCAAAAAGGCCCTTTAGAAAGAAAAAGACTACTTTTTTGGTTGGAAAGGGCCTTTTTGCACAAACCCATGTTAGTTTTTGGTGGACGTTGGAAGGGGAGCAAAAGTTTAAATGTTAGCAGCTAAGTGGGGGTTTCCCACTAAACCACAAAAAGCAAAAATGTAAAATGAGTTGGTGGCAGGGTCGCATTTTTCGGGGGGATCCCAACCAGACCTTCCCTTCAAGACCTGGCCCCCCAGCCGGATGCCGTGCCGCAGCAACCGCCAGCGAGACCAGCTCGTCCTGGCCGGAGCATGGGTAAAGCTTCCGGACTTCCCAAGAAATGGGAAACATCCCAACCATAGGTGACCTTTTGGAAAAACTAGAAGGATGTCCCTGGCAAATGAAAAAAAAAACTAAACCAGTGGAACCCGCCTATTTTTCTAACCAATCTCACCTAAAAAGGACTCGTATGGACCCAACTTTGAACCCCAAGGTAGACCTATTGTTACCCAGGAATCGCTTGGGGGCAACTACCCAACCCCCCATGTCCCGGCTATCCCCACTGGACTCCGTCCTCCAGAGAACGCAAAGACACAGCCGCCTGGCTCGCGGTCGCGGCGTCGAAAGCGTTTTGCGCGAGCACAAGAAACCCGCCAGCCCCACCACCGGGATGGCCGCACGAGGGGGCGGAGGCGCCTCTCCTGCGCTACAGGAGCGAGGGAGAGAGAGAGAGGCAAGGAGACTCGGCATCCTAAACTGCAGCGGGTGTGTCCAAAGTGTTTCTTATGTATATCACTGGAGCGAGCCCTGGAACGAAAGCAAGGCCAAGCAACAAAAACTGCTTGTGGACAGTGACAAACAAATCGAGCCGAATCGAGCCCATATTGGTATGAACACATGTCTATGAAAATGAACAATTATTGCACACACACACACACACACAACCACATACGTATGATATATATATATATCAGAAATATGTATATGCACTGCAGCGTTGTCGCACGCGGGCTTCTGGCTTCGGTGGGCTGGGAGGTCGGTTCTGGGTGGCTTTGGGTTTTCTCAACTTTGGGCCCTCTAGATCCGACCCCGAAACTGTCCGAAGCCCCAAGTCAACGAATAGAACTCGGAACCCCAACTTGTTGTGTTCTTTGGCTTCCCAAAAAGAACACTTCCCCTTAACTAAACTAATAGAACTCTTCTCAACTAATAGAACTCTTCCCTTTAAAGCCAACAAAAAGGGGTTTCCCCCTAAGCGGGCAAACCCAGATGTGTACCTCGCTCCTGTGATTTGCGCCCAGCTAGGCACGGGCCCCTGTCGCCCGTCCGTGCAGGTCCAGATCTCAGAGTGCACTCGGGCGGGGTTGGGTGTCTCAACTGAAGGCATTAAAGGGCTGCAGCAACATGGAAACTTGTGACTTGCCGCATCTTTCATATGGTCCCTGCTTTCTTTTTCCGGATTCTCGGGTTCTCCGCCGCAAGTGTGCTTTTCTTCCAAAAAAAAGTGCTACTTGCGTCTCCTGGATCTTTTTTCTTGGGCGAACTCCCTCAGGGCCATTTTTCCGCGCCGAGGCCGAGGCTTTTCGCTTGTCTTCGATGGTGACACCCCGGCTCTTCAGCTCCTCGCGCAACCAAACAACAAAAACGACACGCCGGCAGGGGGGGGGGGGGCCGGAAGGGAAGTCTCTCTTTCGTCTCTCTCGCTCCGGGCGCCCGGGCATCCCGGATCATGTCCGACAGCTCGTAGTCGTTGGCCATCCGAGCCCTCGGGTATGACTTTGATACTTGAGACCCTCTCGACTTCATTTACTTGCGGTCACCCTTGAGCAGGTTCCCGCTTGTAAAGTCATACACATATCAATGCGTGCGTGTCCTCCGCCAGTTTGTCCCTTTGAAACAGGCAACCCTGCAAAAGCGGTCGCTGCCACAAATGCGAGAGCGCGTTCCAACTCCCAGCTCAAATTCACGGCTTGCTGCTTTCGGAAAATGGCATTGATCAATAGGGGGTGTAGCGGAAATCCGGATCACTTTTCTAGGTAGCGCCCCCTACTGTGGATGGACGAAATCCTTCACCACCTAAGGAAACCATGGGAAACCACTGTTTGTTGGTATTTACAGGGAATCAGACCACTTCAGGGTTTCTTAGGTGGTGCAGCATTTCGTCCATCCACAGTATGAGTAGGATGCCCTTCTGCGGACCAGCCGCTTCTCCCGCTGCACCACCAGTGTGCTCACCTCCACGTCGCTGAGCCTGACACAACGGCTCAAGCACAAAAATGCCAACGGATGCGGTTCAACGAAGTGCAACACTGAGCTGAGCCAGGAAAAAGAAACAAAAAACATTGCGCGGGAATTTTGAAGCACTTTTTTGGAACCCACAAAGTGTCTTCAATGGGCTTCCCCTGCACTTGGTGTCCTCCCAAGGCCGGCACTCATTGTTGCGGAAGCCAGTGATAATGCCCTGCAGCCTGGACCAATCCCAACATCCGTCTGGGAACCCCCATATCTTTATTTTCCCGTTTTTGTTGGTGAAGCTCCAAATCACATAAGTGAGGGGGAACACACACACACACACACACACACACACACACACATGGGTCAAACCCCCAGTGAACATCCCAATCCAACCACGAAAATCGGTTCTAAAGTGGGTGGTGAATTCACCTACCGACCAAAATGATGGGATCCCAAAACCCATTGGTTTTCACACCCACAGGCGTTGCGCTGGGGCCGGGACCCCTTGCTGGCACACTTCCAGAGCTTCTCCTTGTCCAAGAGCTCCACACCCATCTCCTGAGGCTTAGCTCCACTTTTGGGGAAAGCGGCCATCCTGGTCCCTTGAAACCATCAAAACCGGGGTTCCCTTTCCCCCCCCTAAAACATACAGGGGGGGGAGAAAAAACAAACGGGGAAAAATTAACGGCCTCGATCGGGGAGAAAGAATGCCCCCCTGTTTCCCAAAGAACTCAGAATGATCCGCAAATGCTGCTTTGATTCCAAAAGATGAATTAAGGGATACCCAAGTGAAGGATCCTTATCATTGTGAGCTCACTATACGCCCAGGTGGTTTTGGGGGCTGGG